GCTCACAGCCATAGAGCGCTCACAGCCATAGAGCGCGCACAGCCATAGAGTGCTCACAGCCATAGAGTGCTCACAGCCATAGAGTGCTCACAGCCATAGAGTGCGCACAGCCATAGAGTGCTCACAGCCATAGAGTGCTCACAGCCATAGAGTGCTCACAGCCATAGAGTGCTCACAGCCATAGAGTGCGCACAGCCATAGAGTGCGCACAGCCATAGAGTGCTCACAGCCATAGAGTGCGCACAGCCATAGAGTGCTCACAGCCATAGAGTGCGCACAGCCATAGAGTGCTCACAGCCATAGAGTGCGCACAGCCATAGAGTGCTCACAGCCATAGAGTGCTCACAGCCATAGAGTGCTCACAGCCATAGAGCGCTCACAGCCATAGAGCGCTCAAAGCCATAGAGTGCTCACAGCCATAGAGCGCTCACAGCCATAGAGTGCTCACAGCCATAGAGTGCTCACAGCCATAGAGTGCGCACAGCCATAGAGTGCTCACAGCCATAGAGTGCTCACAGCCATAGAGTGCGCACAGCCATAGAGTGCTCACAGCCATAGAGCGCTCACAGCCATAGAGTGCTCACAGCCATAGAGTGCTCACAGCCATAGAGTGCTCACAGCCATAGAGTGCTCACAGCCATAGAGTGCGCACAGCCATAGAGTGCTCACAGCCATAGAGTGCTCACAGCCATAGAGTGCTCACAGCCATAGAGCGCTCACAGCCATAGAGTGCTCACAGCCATAGAGTGCTCACAGCCATAGAGTGCTCACAGCCATAGAGTGCGCACAGCCATAGAGTGCGCACAGCCATAGAGTGCTCACAGCCATAGAGCGCTCACAGCCATAGAGTGCGCTCCCTTAACAGCCTGTGAAATGGATGGACATGCAGCGTCAGGACTCGCAATGTTCACAAGTCCAAAAACAACGAGTCCGAGTCAAGTCCGAGTCTTTAGGGGACGAGTCCGAGTCAAGTCCGAGTCTTTAGGGGACGAGTCCGAGTCAAGTCTCGAGTCTTTAGGGGACAAGTCCGAGTCGAGTTGCAAGTCTCTACAAATAGCGACTTAAAGTCGCACTTGCAAGTCCCCATCAATGGTCCGCAGTACCGCCAGAATCCCCCAAGAGCATGGGTCCTTCAGCTCTATGCTAGTAATACCCTATCCAGAAATTATAATAGATCTATGTGCACAAAAACACATAGATCTCCCCCCTTGGACTGCCACCTTAACGTGGTGGGGGAGTTTGAGCACTCGGATGATCCTGGGAGCTATGCTGTCTGGGGCTTCATGCCCCTGGTAGGGTCTCCCATGGCAGACAGGTCTCAAGTGACGAGTCAGACGAAGCGCAGTCCGAAGCCAACCATGGACAGCACGACAACAAAAACCGTGACGTCGCCCGGCATGGCGCAGCCGGGGCCCCACCCTGGAGCCAGGCCTGGGGTCGGGGCTCGCAAGCGAGCGCCTGGTGGCCGGGCCTTAGCCCACGGGGCCCGGCCGGGCTCAGCCCGAAGGGATGACGTGGGCAGTCCCTCCTGTGGGCTCACCACCTGCAGAGGGGTCCGTGGTGGCGAGGTGCAGAGAGGACTGGGCAGCAGTCGAAGGCGGAGACCTCGACGACCCAGTCCACACACCCAACATCTGGCTCTTGGGACGTGGAACGTCACCTCACTGGGGGGGAAGGAGCCCGAGCTTGTGGGGGAGGTTGAGCGATACCAACTAGAGATAGTGTTTGTGTAATCCTGCGATAGGGTGTTTAGTTTCAGTGTGGACCCACAGCTTGGGCTCTGGAACCCAACTCCTTGAGAGGGGTTGGACGCTCCACTTTTCTGGTGTTTCCCGCGGGGAGAGGCGGCGAGCTGGGGTGGCCATACTCATTGCCCCCCATCTCAGCCGCCACGTGTTGGAGTTCTCCCCGGTGAATGAGAGGGTCGCGTCCCTCCGCCTCCGGGTGGGGGACAAGTCTCTCACTGTTGTGACGGCCTACGGGCCTAACGGTAGTGCAGAGTACCCGGCCTTCTTGGAGTCCTTGGGAGGGGTACTGGACAGTGCACCGCCCGGGGACTCCGTTATTCTCCTGGGGGACTTCAACGCCCATGTGGGAAATGCCAGTGACACTTGGAGAGGGGTGATCGGGAAGAGCGGCCCCCCTGATCTGAACCCGAGCGGTGTTCAGTTGTTGGACTTCTGTGCCAGTCACGGCCTGTCCATCACGAACACCATGTTCGAGCACAAGGGTGTCCATCAGTGCACGTGGCACCAGGACACCCTAGGCCGGAGGTCGATGATCGACTTTGTAGTCGTATCATCTGACCTTCGACCGCGTGTCTCGGACACTCGGGTGAAGAGAGGGGCGGAGCTGTCAACCAATCATCACCTGGTCGTGAGTTGGATCCGCTGGCAGGGCAGGAGGCCGGTCAGACCTGGCAGGCCCAAGCGTGTAGTGAGGGTTTGCTGGGAACGTCTCGCTGAGCCCCCTGTCAGACGGACTTTCAACTCACACCTCCGGGAGAGCTTCTCCCAGGTCCCGGCAGAGGAGGGGGACATCGAGTCCGAGTGGACCATGTTCTCTTCCTCTATCGCCAATGCGGCGGCTCGTAGCTGTGGTCGCAAGGTCTCTGGTGCTGGTCCCGGCGGCAATCCCCGAACCCGGTGGTGGACACCGGCAGTAAGGGATGCCGTCAGGCTGAAGAAGGAGTCCTATCGAGCAATGATGGTTCGTGGGACTCCTGAGGCAGCTGTCCAGTACCGGCAGGCCAAACGTGCCGCGGCCCGGGCTGTTGCAGAGGCAAAAACCCGGGACTGGGAGGAGTTCGGAGAGTCCATGGAGCATGACTATCGGTCGGCCTCGAAGAGGTTCTGGCAAACCGTCCGGCGCCTCAGGAGGGGGAAGCAGTTCTTTGCCAACACCGTGTATGGTGCGGGTGGAGGGCTGCTGACCTCGACTGGGGATATTGTCGGGCGGTGGAAGGAATACTTCGAGGTTCTCCTCAATCCCCCCGTCACGTCCCCCGTCCAGGAGGCAGAGGCTGAGGATGTTGGGGCGGATACTTCCATCTCCCTGGCCGAGGTCACCAAGGTGGTTGGCAGCCTCCATGGTGGCAAGGCGCCGGGAGTGGATGAGATCCGTCCTGACTATCTAAAGTCTCTGGATGTTGTAGGACTGTCTTGGCTGACACGTCTCTGCAACATCGCGTGGCGATCGGGGGCGGTGCCAATGGAGTGGCAGACCGGGGTGGTGGTCCCTCTCTACAAGAAGGGGGACCGGAGGGTGTGTTCCAATTATCGTGGGATCACACTCCTCAGCCTCCCCGGTAAGGTCTACTCCAAGGTACTGGAGAGGAGGCTTCGTCCGATGGTCGAATCTCGGATTCAGGAGGAGCAGTGTGGTTTTCGTCCCGGTCGCGGAACACTGGACCAGCTCTATACTCTCCATCGGATACTCGAGGGTTCATGGGAGTTCGCCCAACCTGTCCACATGTGCTTTGTGGATTTGGAGAAGGCGTTCGACCGCGTTCCCCGGGGTGTCCTTTGGGGGGTCCTCCGGGAGTACGGGGTCCGGGGTCCTCTGCTGAGGGTTGTTCGGTCCCTGTATGACCGGAGCCAGAGCTGTGTTCGCATTGCTGGCAGTAAGTCAGACCTGTTCCCGGTGCATGTTGGCCTCCGCCAAGGCTGCCCTTTGTCACCGGTTCTGTTCACTGTATTTATGGACAGAATCTCTAGGCGCAGCCAGGGGCCGGAGGGGGTCCGGTTCGGGAACCACAGGATTTCATCTCTACTTTTTGCGGATGATGTCGTCCTGCTGGCTCCAACGAACCAGGACCTGCAACATGCACTGGGACGGTTTGCAGCCGAGTGTGAAGCGGCTGGGATGAGAATCAGCACCTCCAAATCCGAGGCCATGGTGCTTGACCGGAAAAAGGTGCCTTGCCCTCTCCAGGTGGGTGGAGAGGTCCTTCCTCAAGTGGAGGAGTTCAAGTATCTCGGGGTCTTGTTCACGAGTGAGGGGAGGATGGAGCGTGAGATTGACAGGCGGATCGGTGCAGCGTGCGCAGTGATGCGGTCTCTGTATCGGACCGTTGTGGTAAAGAGGGAGCTGAGCCGAAAGGCAAAGCTCTCAATTTACCGGTCAATCTTCGTTCCCTCCCTCACCTATGGTCATGAGCTGTGGGTAATGACCGAAAGAACGAGATCGCGGATACAAGCGGTCGAAATGAGCTTCCTCCGCAGAGTGGCTGGGCGCTCCCTTAGAGATAGGGTGAGGAGCTCAGTCACACGGGAGGAGCTCGGAGTAGAACCGCTGCTTCTCCACGTCGAGAGGAACCAGTTGAGGTGGCTCGGGCATCTGTTCAGGATGCCTCCTGGACGCCTTCCTGGGGAGGTGTTCCGGGCACGTCCCACCGGGAGGAGGCCCCGGGGAAGACCCAGGACACGCTGGAGAGACTATGTCTCTCAGCTGGCCTGGGAACGCCTAGGGGTCCCCCCGGACGAGCTTGAGGAGGTGTGTGTGGATAGGGAAGTCTGGGCGTCTCTGCTTAGACTGCTGCCCCCGCGACCCGGCAACGGATAAAGCGGAAGAAAATGGATGGATGGATGGATGGATGGATATGTGCACAAAAACACCATGTTTCTCTACATCCAACAGACACACAAGGCTGAATGAAGGGCTCGACACACGGGAGGCGACAAATGAGAGCGATCAGCGAAACTCAACGCTGTCGCTCAGATAACATGACAGACGGGGCGCGATGCGGCTTGACGAAAGCGTCGAAAAGTTGAGCCGATTTCAACTTTCTGGGATCGCGTCGCTGACCTGCGCGTGCACGATAGATGCACGAGCAGGAGGATTTCACACGCACGTTTTTCGCCCGTCGCTGAGCAGGAGGCTCGCTAGCGATTGACGCTATGTCGCGCACGTCCCATTGAAAATGAATGGAGGCGATGCGATGTCGCCTCTCGTGTGTCGAGCCCTTGAGAGAAGCTGGCATGCTATGAAACCACTCTCACCATCTTCAGATCTTTCTTGGTCCATAGCTCGAAGAGATGGTCTCTCAGCACTGCAGGGTCAAGACCTGGGTGCATAGATGAGACAGGATTTCACTCAGCCATAAATTTGCAATCCAAGCACACCACAGGAGCAAAAATAAATTAGACAAAAGTGAAAAGTGTCTTAACAACATTTCTAATGACTGCTGAATGTTTACATCTTGACCTATTAAGATCCTGTGTGTAGCCTACTCTCACTGTATACAGCTGTTCCACGAGAGCGTCAGGGCTATGGTCAGAGTGTGTTGGTCACTAAACAACATCATGAAGGCCAAGGAGCACACCAGAGAGGTCACGACAGCAGACAGCTGAGAGGCATGTGTTGCCATGGTGATCTCCAAAAGTTTAGCGGCAGATACATGCCCAATACATGCCCTTTGGTCAAATAAAGAGCTCTACAAAAACGTTTAATAATTTTGTTCAGAAGTATTGGAACATAGAAAGAAATACTTATACTAAACTGTAAGTGCAGGCAGAACAAACCTGCATCCAAAGGTACAAGGCTCATTCTTCATATGATTGATGGTTTGTTGCTGTTGATCTGTATGACAAAAATTTAACATTTTATTAGTTGAGATATAAATATAGCGATAATAAGACACTTACATGGCTTGTAAATTGTGACATAAATAATCAAAATATACACACAACATCCATCCATCCATTTTCTTCCCTTTAATCCAACCCAGAAACAACATAACATCCATTAATGAAATTAAACATGAATTTAGATTTTTTTCCACTGTCCCGCATTTCCCTCTAGCGGGGATTTAGTGCCAACACAAGAGTGGGAAACAACAATTAGAGACCACGTTGCAATTTAAATAAATTGTCATAGAAGTCATATTTTTTATGTGTATAGAGAAAGCAGATTAACGGCATGTTATATAGGTTTCTTGAAATTGGCCAATTTGTTAATTAAGTCGTCAACAGGAACAAGCTAGCAAAAGACTAGCAGACTTCCTGGTTTTAAAAGCTGACACATTAATGCACAGACATTAGGACCTACTAATATAGAGTTCAGATGGACATTAAGTTGAAAATGGCATTCGTTTGATGGGAAAAGGGGACAAACTTACCAACTTGTGTGTCACTGCATGTGTGTCGAAATTGTACTACCGGGAAGAATTTTGTATTAATTTTCCCATCATTATTTCAGTTGGACAATATTTCCTTTGGTTCACCCACATATGGAGGCAAACATAAATTTAAACTGTGTCCTAAACTAAGAAATATATTGCATGCCATGTTTACAGTGTTGACCAATCTGGATCAAGATAAAGACGCGACTCAATTTTCGACTCTGAGACTGAAGCCTGCAAGACAAGCTCAGGGGATTAAACCATCGGGTCATGCGCATACGGGTCATGCGCATACGGGTCACTCATACGCGACCCCCTGGCGACCCCTTGTGGAAAGAAAACAGTGGTCATGTGTTTTAAACAAACTATCCATGGTTTTAAAATACAATCAATGGTGAAAGCATAGACTGTGAGCCGATAAACAAATGATAATTATTATTATTTTTTTTTTAATGAAAATGTTAATAATAATAATAACAATAATAGCAACAGACAACAGCACTACACTTTTCTCAATATTTTAAGTTTACTGAGGAGATGTACAGAGATTTATTATTCGATGTCTATGACAGAAAGTCCAGTCTATGGTCAACAGTGACTATCACGTCATGTGACTAAAATAGTGTACCACGTGTTTCACGTATCACTTCTTTAGAACGACAGAAGTCTGTTGGACTACATGTAGCATGTTAGTTTGTTTGATAACGATGCTGCTTGCCGGAGCTAGAGTTTTATCTGAATGTATAACACCTAGTTATTGGTATAGTCGACATAATAGAACTGTATTAAAGTACGACAAGCTTGCCCCTCGGGACTGTCTTGCAGAGCTGTAGCATATCACAGAGAAGTTAGCTTTAGCCACAGCTAACATTAGCCGCTAGTGCCACAACAACAGTGATGGAGTGGACAGGACACGAATGTCCCGTTTGGCCAGAGGAAGACTCGTCTGCGAGAGGATTGAACCATGTGTCTCATGAGCAGGTTCACGCTGTCTTTAAAACTCTGTAAATTGTTTTTAAAAAACTAATCCCAACGTGTGTGTTCAATGTTTTTGTAAGGTTTAGATTGCATTTGCCTCTTAACGGGACTCCTTATATTTTTAATACACCTGACTTATTAGACTGTGGCTTACTGCCTTTTTGTGCTTGTAATAATGAAATTTTTTTATTGTTATGAACTTTTATTATACATTGAACTAATGGTACGTAACTTTCGGGAGTTACGTTTTTGCGCCCACAAGACAGACACACAAGTGAGGTAACTGTGTCTTCTGATGTTTCTTATCCTACAGTCTCCATCATCATCACTCTGTCATAGTGCCATGACTTCCCACTGTCAGAGCCAGCAGCACGGTGTAAAGGCCTCCATCCTGTCTGGTTGGACACTTGCTGAAGCCCAGGATCAATTGTGTTCTCTGGAGGTCCACAGCTCGGAGTCAGTGGAGCAGGAAAGAGCTCGGACTAGAGCCTGTCCTGCTGACCTGTCAAATACAGAGCAGGAATGGCAACGCAAGGAGAGTATGTTGGGCAGTCCTGAGTCAAGCTGCAGCCCTGTCCTGGGAGCCTCAGCGAGCTGGGATGTTTTTAACAGGGTATTGTTTTATTTAATATATGGTGTATAGTAAAGTGCTTAAGAGGGGTTGGACATGGTAGGCTTAGAAATATGAAAGAAAGGATGACACCGGCACACTGTCCAACTTGCAAACACCAGTGGTTTATTAGCAACGTTTCGGCTGTGGCCGAAACGTTGCTAATAAACCACTGGTGTTTGCAAGTTGGACATGCAAGTTGGACAGTGTGCGGGTGTCATCCTTTCTTTCATGTTTGGCCAGCTAGTGCGCGCCCACTCCTACGCACCTGTCAGAGAAGAGATGTGCGAAGTCTACCTCTTTTAACAGGCTTAGAAATATGAAAGTTGTTTAGACCTGGACGGACATTATTGATCCACAAGGGAAATTGCATTGTCGCAGTAGCTTACATAGTATTTCACAATAAAAATAACATTAAAGTAACTATAATCCATTTATTATTTGACAGTGGAAAATGAGCATCATAGTATTGAGGCCAAGGCTTGTCAAATTGATTCAGAAGTTATGATTGCATTATTTTGTTAAATTAAGGTTTAAACTTTGAGTTGTATTTTGTAAACATTTAAGTTGAGGTCTAAAAAATCCCCTTTATTGCACATATTGAATGTATTGGTATGTCATTTCTCATGTCTTGTTTTTCAGATATATTTGGTTTTTTTTGTATACATGTTTGTTTTAAAACTATTCAAATTACTACTCCACGAGTTAGTTCCCACTAAACAAAAACAAAGGGAACGCTTTATTGTGCATTGTTTGATAATACTCATTTTCCCCCAGAGTATTATCAATCTCCAATATCCAAGTCAGCCTTCTGACCTGGAACGAGACGACTGCAAAACGGTTATCCCAAAATATGAACAAGAGCTTAGACATTTTGGTAAGGAATGCTCTTGTTTTGAAAAAAATCTATTCTAAATATTAGACCAATAATTTTAGCTAAAACTGGACAATTGTTTTCAGGAATGTTGCGCAGATGGGATGATAGCCAGCGTTTTCTTTCAGACATGCCTCAACTTATTTGTGAAGAAACGGCAAACTATTTAAGTCTGTGGTGCATCACTTTACAACAGGAAGGGGTAACTATTGCGTTATATTTTTTGATTATATTTTTAGCTCACTATTAATCATTGGCGTACATGGAAAAGTGAATGAATATTTGGAATAAAATGTTTTGGTTATTTTTTTCCATATTTGTCATTGTGTTTGTAGAAAGAAGCACTGATGACACAAGTAGCTCACCAAGCAGTGGTTATGCAGTTCATCCTGGAGATGGCATCAAACTCTAAGCAGGACCCACGAGGCTGCTTTAGACACTTTTTTCGTAAAGCCAAAGTACGAAAGATATTTGACCATCATTTAGTACCTTCACTGTTGCACTGTACTTGTATTGCTTTGTCAAACAGGAAGGAAGTAGTGTTTACCAAGAAGTCTTCCTCTCAGAGTTGGAGGCCTTTAAAGTTCAAATTAAGGATTACGTATTCAAGTGTAAGGAAAACTCCCAAGACAGCGGAGGGCGGGAGAAAAGTGACCCACAAGACTCTTTACCTTTGGCAAGTCCCATCCTTGTACAATATAAAACAAACTGAATCAAAACCTTAAACATAAAGTGTTGCTGTTATAAGATGTTTGCTTGTTCATTGTTAATTTAAAAGTACTATATTATTGTTTTTGCCTGTACAAAGTTAAAGCAAAAATGAAACTTGCAAAGCATGAAACAAACTTATTAAGTTTTGTAAACAAGCAAAGATGCAGCTTAACCTGTTTTCTCATCATAAACTTCTTGGATTTAACCTCTCATAACATCCACCATTTCTCCTTTTGCAGACAGAATGTTCTATGAAACATGGACTTAGGACAAATTCTGTCCGATTGACAAAAGAGGACAAAGCAGAAACTGAGGACATCCTCATGATGGAAACGTCGTAAGAGTTTGGAGACCACACTTCGTCTGTAATCGTAACTTTATGGCTACATGACATTGAGATGTCTGAGCCTTTGGAAACAACATATTCTGTATCTTTGGTTGGTAAGAACTCAAGTTAGTTTTAAACTATGGACAAACTTGGACATTATGCTTGAATTATCCAAACAATACAATCTTTGGTGTTATTCTGTTGAAACTTGTATAATGTAGACCAAGGAAATGCATGAGCTTTGTTGTTTTCAGCAATTCATTTCCCTCAAATGGTAATTTACGTAATCAAACTTTTAGGAGTCATTTAAAAACGAAGGGTTTGCTAAACTGTATTTCTATTTAACTCAATTTGAAAATTATTTAAAACTGAATCGGTATCGGCAACTGAATCTGTCAATGATTGTAATCGTTAGCCATACTGTGAATAATGGCTACAGAGATTCCTCTGGTTTATTAACCAAGAACAGAATGTTTTGGTGGAATCTTACAAAGAACAAAAAGTAGTATACTTAAAAATACTTCTGAATTCTGCAGGTTTGTTTTTTTTGCTTAATTTCTTTCTACTCACATTCTTGGGACTATACATGTAGAAAGTACTTTTAAAACTGATTAGTCCTAAACCAGGCAGAGAGAAGTCCTTATTTTAGACCTGGTTTAGACGGCACAGAACCACTTTTCACATTAAGTGTTTACTTTCTTTATTGACATTTTTAAAAGTACGAGTCCTACAGTTTATGACTTTGTGTTGAATTGCTATTATCCACCAGATTAGCACCGGTCTTTCAACTTTTACTCAAGTACTATTTCTCACGCTAAACCTTTTGCTCACAGTACTTTCTGGATCCACTTTTAGCTGAAAGAAACATGCCTTGCTAACATTGTTCTTATGACTTTGGCTGCAAAATGTTTTACCTGTGGCTTTATGGAATATTATGTATAAATATAAGACAAATTTGAGGCAAATCTTAATGAACATCCAATGAACAAAAAGGTGTTACAGCCTTGATATTTCAGCTTTGACGTGGTGACGTTTTGACCATATGTTTTGATAATTAAACAAACAGGATTTTATCACAATAAGGATTTTCTGTGTGTTTCATGTTTTCATATAATCTGCAGTTGCATTAAAAGTATCTGAGATGAAGTGAGGTACAGGAGGCAGGTGAACGGCCTAAAATGAAGCTTACGCAGTAGTAGTTGTCCATTACTTAATCATTCTTTCTGAAAAAGACCCACATTTCAATAAAGTTTAATTTGCCATTAGTTACTTCAATATGTTTTCTGAGTAATGTTGGATTTAATCAACCGTTATTGTGTTGCTTATTTCAAAATACTGCATTAGTTAAAGATCAGCCCTCATGTGTCGGGTTTATAAAGAACAAATATGTCAAGATGTGAGTTGTGTGAAAATGAATTCAAAATATACACTTGAGATCAAGGGAGTTATTTTTAATGTAGTCAAAGGGTTTTCCCCCAAACAGGTGAAAGTACTGTGTTTTATCAATGTTATAAAAATACATTCTCTTTACTCTGATCATTAATTTCTTTAAAATAAAAAAATCGTCCCATGAAGAAACGCAAGGTTCTCTTAGCTGCGGTGCCCCTCTGAGGCCCTTTGGTCCCGTCTGGAGTGTTGAACATGTTCATTCAAGCATTTTTACAAAAACGTACCTCAAAAACCATTAGTAAGTTAATAAAGGCACATTGTGGAATCTATAAAGAAACAGTGCAATGCTCAAAACATGTTGCTTACTGTTCCACCTCATCAACAAGAGGATAATGCACAGTTCTTCCTATCACTAGTGTCCCAAACTTTCTTAAGTTATGCCACTTTTTGACTGAGAGTGGGGAGTTTTCTGTGAAGATATGCCTCAACATGGGGCCAGATCTTGTTGGTTTCAGTCCCAGAAAAGGTTTCCAATACACCTTTACTTCTAAAAACACAAAAAAACATTTGTTAAACCTCAAGTAAGCCAGATGGTCACACTCATTGGAGAAGTTAGACATCTTCACATCTACAAATAAAATTCACAATTCAAACTCTGTGCACTTGGTGTCTAATTTAAATAAGAATATGGATTTTCAATTTACTTGCTATTTTTATAGTTAAAGTCTATTACACATTTACTATAATAAAAATGTACAGGGCAGGTGAAAATGTGAAATTCTGCATCATACCTGTAGTATTCAAGAACTGGTTCCGTCTGGTTTTCATAGGCTTTCAGTCTGCGTGAGACTGTGTGTGGAGTGTCATCATCTCTCTGCTCCAGAGGTTCTCCAGTCACGTCATCAACACCCTGTACGTGACCAAACACAGATTAAACCAATGTGCTCAAGAAAAAATATAGTAAGAGGTTATTTGGCGTCTGAAAATAATCAAACTACTTTGAATTTTAACAATATAGGGCCAGCTGTATAAAGCTTTGTATAGAGAACCATCCATCCATTTTCTTCCCCTTAATCCATTTCTGGGTCGGGGGGGTGGCCAGAGCTGCACCCAGTCACAGAGCACCAGCCCCTCACTGATCCTCCTGCAGGTGCTGAGTCCACAGGAGCCCTAATTTTTCAGTGGGGGCTTCTGACAAAGTGGGGTTAAGTGTCTTGGCCAAGGACACAATGACAGCAGACATCAGTGGGAGTCTTGTGGTGGGCTCGAACCCACGACCTTCAGGCTCTAAGGCCAATGCTCTACCAACTAGAGCATTGTTAAATATAATGATCTTGTTGTTTTGTGGAAAATGAAGTCACATGTTCTAAGGGCTGTATTGTGAGATTCCTCTCATTGTCCTATTCACTTTTCCTATTTATATGTTAATTAAGTTTTTGTCATAAGTTCTTAAGCCTTTAGGCATTTACATCTAAAGAGTCATTATGTTACTTCCTTGTTTGAGTGGTTGACTTTTTGCTCTGTTTTAGTTGAATATAGGTAGATATCTACAATTGAACCATGTTAAAAAATAAAACACGTATTGGAAGTTCCTCTCAAAGTAAATAAAATGAATCTAATTTGCATACAAACATTTGGTCTTGTTGAAGATGAAGCCTGCACGTGTTTGGTTAAAACAATCTCAGTTCTCATGATGTCATACTTTCAATAAAAAACAAATCGGTTAACAAACATTTAGATCATGCTCCAATCCTTTGTATTTACTGTTATTGTTTTTATGGACATTTATCCAATAAATGTTTGACATTATTTTAAAATATATATTTTTTTGATTGTTCAGCAGTTTAAATGAAGGAAGGTGAACTTACAAGGACTTTTGGTGGGTTGAAATCTGTGTTGTAGACTCTCCCGCTGGGAGTGTGTGTCCATCGTGACGACAGCCTCTTTTTGATTGTCTCAAACGGGACATTGAGGTTGATGACAGTGTCCACACTGGATGTGTCATCGAGAGCCTCGGCCTGAAGGATTGTACGAGGAAAGCCTGGCACAGGACATGTTTATAAGTGACTTATAGGTTTTGTAAAGTAAAGATCAATGTGTGCAGTTCTACCATCCAGCAGCCAGCTGTCATTGCCCAGTGCTCGCAGGTCATGGAGGATGAGCCGAGCCATCACATCATCAGGAAGCAGCTGACCCTGATCTATACAGGCCTTCATCAGCAGACCCAGCTCTGACCACATGGAAACACAGATAAAAAAACAAGTTACTCTGTAGCCCAGGGGGTCTCAAACTTTACAGTTGTGAAATCAACTAGTGACCCCCCCCCCCGGCGGAATTTACAGCAATAACAAACAGGCGAGATACAATGTTTTATGGTAAATATAACATAATAATAATAATCAACTGTTATAATTATTTAACATAATTATTCTTACATTATCATGTTTTGTGTCACATATTTAGTGAAACACAATGAAGAAAAAGGGAAGAGCAGTACAAAATTCAACTAGATTACAAATTGTTGGCATTAGCTAAGTGACAGGAGGTAAGACCACTTCTGAAGAGTCAAGAGGCTGTTGTTTTATCAGCTGAAGAATGAATGTCTTCACTCACTAACGGGAAAACTGCATCTGAGGTGTACCACACATTCATATTCCCATTTAATCAAAAGAAGTTACTTTTGGTCCATGTATAAACACATTATAAACATATCTTTAAACTTTTGTGCACATTCTTATAGTCACGTTCACAAAATCGTCTTCCCCAACCCCCAGATCACACATGGGGGTTGGGGAGACAGCTTTGGTAAGTTCACAAAGAATGTGGGGGACCCCTCAAAGCAGAGAGCTGTTCTTATTTCTATGTGGATGTAAACTGACTTTGCTATAATGTGTGCTGCATGTGTTCGACCGAAATATGTGATAAAGATAAACTGTGACAAAATAAATAAGGAGAGCATTCACTGTTGAATTCTTTATAGAGGTTTCGAGCTGAGAATATAAACGAGAGGTGCTTCTGGTTATCAAGTGTTCTTGGGAAGTTGTCAGCTGCAGACCGCGCTGTGGATAAACTTGGCATATTAGGTACATGTACTGCACTCTGTCTCATTATGAATATTTGTAGGTAATGGCAAAGATTAATTCGATTTTGGTGACATATATAATCCTATTTGCAATGAGCATGTTATAACACATGAGCAGTGCCCATTAACACGTAAGAAAGCACTCTCTGACCTTGAATACAACTCACAGTAGAATGGTCACGCATGATAAGCAGCAGAAACCCAAGGCGTGGTGCACTTATCTTCTTTATAGACAAGACTTATGCAAAAGTCATGCATTTTTTGTTGCTGCCGTTTTTGTACATCTTCCGGAACCAGTTTGTGTAGAAGGCATCTTACCGGTTTTTGCACGTATGTTGTTTCTCAAGATGTCTCCACTCGAAATATGTTTGAGCCCGAAAGTTTTAATGATGCGCCCGGAAACCGTCCCTTTACCCGATCCTGGGGGCCCCATGATGACAGCGCGAAACACCCTCTGCAGCACCATCTCTGATCTGAAGACACAACGCTGGCAATTTAATATCTGGGAATGATACAATCAAAGCAGCATTTGCATATTCAGTTTGTGGAGGTCCAGAGATTGTTACTATCTTGAGTAGGCAGTGTGGACTTTGATCCGTGTCAGCCTCAGGAGTGAAGAAAGTGGGAGGGATGAAACGTGCAAGTGCCGCGGGGACTGCTGTTGTTGCGATACCATCCGACCTATCGACTGAAAGACCTGCTTGTTTTAGAAATAGGCTATTGTTTACAGGAGTTGAATATATTGTATAATCCTGTTATGTAATTGGTCAACGGCGGGGAAAAAAAGCTGTGCATGATTAATCTCTTCCGTATTTGACTGTACATGATTATTTGTATTTATTTTTTTCACTTCAACCCTCTGGCTATTTGATTGTCAATTTGTATGCATGTTGTATACCTGCATTTTTGAAGAAATAAATTCATGTAAAAAAAAAAAAACAAAAAAAAATTAATCCCTTCCGTATCGCTTCCTGTGAAGGTTTGCATCAGAAACATACCGTTGTGGCATTTTATCTGCTTTATCTAATGCTTTCACTTATATACTTTGGCTAATGCTCGTAGTGAAGAACAGATACTTTTAGATTTACATTCCATTAAAAAAAGTGAATATATTCCAAGCTTATCTAAATGTTTACCCTAGGAATATGTATGTATGTCTTTATCTTGGAACGTATAATTTGTGAGAAAAGGAAAGTTCTAAACACAACCACACCCTGTCCTTCCACCATGGTCCTTCCCCCATGGTCCTTCCCCCATGGTCCTTCCACCATGGTCCTTCCCCCATGGTCCTTCCCCCATGGTCCTTCCCCGTATGCTCGCCATGGCTCGTGCTCGTGCTCGTGCATGGATCTGCTGGGCTCGTGGCAGTATGGCGCCACCGAGTGGCCCAAATGTGCTACTACAATTATATGGAGCTGTTTGACCCTTCTGCTCTTCCGTACAATTGCATCTTCTCAACACACGTGGATTCCAGCGACGCTTGGCCGAAATAATAATAACATGGAAAGTCAGGGACTTATGTACGATGGTTGTAATTTGTTTCGGCAGCGCTTGGTGCTGTCCACACTCAGCGGGAAAAGAGTTAAAATCAAGAACATAAGGCCGAGAGATGACGAGCCCGGGCTCCGTGGTAAGTTTATGTTTCTATGGTGTGGCGTCGCAGTTAGCACGGCTATGCTAGCTGTTACGCAGTTGGGAGGGTGTTGTTTACTGTGCACAGTGGACACATGGATCTATAATAATCAAGTGGACAGGACAGTAATGCAACATTGTCATACAATATTGTTTTATTTGATGAAGCATCTGCTGTAGTTCAAACTTAATTCGGTCATACTCTACTTTAATTTTTTTTTTTTTCAAATCTGTTCATGTTTTAAATGTTTAACTTTGTGATCACCAGATTTTGAAGCCAGCTTCATCAGACTTTTAGACAAAGTGACAAATGGATCTCGAATAGAGATTAATCAAACAGGTTGGGTATTGTTTATCTGTTATTTGTAACTACTGTTTTGAGTTTCTGAGGCTGCAGCCTATTTCAATTGAAATTAAATACTTTTATCCGTTACAGGAACTGTACTTTTCTACCAGCCTGGTTTATTGTACGGTGGGTCCATTGAACATGAATGTAACCCACAGCGCTCCATTGGATACTATCTAGAAGGACTGCTGCTACTTGCTCCATTTATGAAAACACCTTTGCAGGCAACTTTAAAGGGAGTAACTAATGACCCTACTGACCCAACAGTAAGTAAATGCTAATTTATAATATATTCGAACCAACCACGATTTATGTCCTGCCCACACTTTATCAAACCAATATTTCGGCTGCGGCTGTAAAGTGCCAAACTGCTATTGTGTCCCTTGGCAAGACACTTCATCCCCATTGCCTAGAACGAGTCTAGTGTGTGTGTGAATGGTTGGTGGTGGTCGCCTTGCTTCTGTCAGTGTGCCCCAGGGCAGCTGTGGCTACAGTAGTACAGTAGTTTATCACCACCGTGTTTGGAGAGAATGAATGACGTGTGAAGCGTCTTTGAGTGTCCAAAAAGCACCATATAAAACCGATGCATTATCATTATTATTTAGATCAACCATTGAGATGTGATCTACCATGTATTTAAGTGGGTGTTTGCCATTCAGAATATCACATTTGGTTCATGATGCATGTGTTTCACGATCAAGTAATGACCGTGTTGTCTTTTTTCACAATTCATTGGCAGGGATGGTAGAAAGTACACCTGCTTCTGCCACAAAATGTAGAGTATGTGTGGCTCACATTATAAATGTCACTTATAACTGCTTAGTGTCTTTTTATTTATCAGAAAACTATGATAAATGAGATGAAACCGGCTTGAGTGAGTTTGAAGTAATTAAAAGAAAATAAGTGTTCTGGATTCAGAGGCTCATGTAGCAATTCTGCCACTTTGGTGCCTAAAGATGTCTATGTGGATTTCCCCAAGGGTGGAGCTTAACATTCAACTTAGTTTGCTCAAATGGACAAACCAGAGACTGTGACTGCCTCTTACTTACAATGGCAATAACAAGTTCTCTGGTTCTGATTTCCCATCTGTACTGCCTGGTATGCAGATGAAAGCAGCATAAGTACCCTCAAGGGAATACTTACCAAGAACATATATTTTATTCCACTGCCTTTTTGTGTACCAATGAACGTTTGCAAGTGCTGTCCAAAGTGGACTCCGCCAAGAAATGTTATGAATGAAACTATTGTTCACTGTCTTGCATATAGGTTGATCTACTCAAGTTAACCTCCATACCTCTGATGAAGAAATTTGGAATTGATGGGGAAGGACTTGATCTAAAAGTAAGTTTATACAAATTCATCCTTGGAATGAATTTCAAGGCTGATCTTGGATCTTATCTTCCATCCATCTGTCATTTTCTTAGGTTGTAAAAAGGGGGATGGCTCCTGGAGGTGGAGGCGAGGTAGTTTTCAAATGTCCTGTACGCAGAACAATCAAACCAGTCCAACTCACTGATCCCGGGAAAATCAAGAGGATTAGAGGAATTGCGTATCCTTGCAGTTTTTGTTGTCATTGGAATTTGTTGACTAGAAATAATATTTTTCAAATGCATTTCATGAAGGAAAATGTCAAATTATTGTCTTTTTTTACCTTGACTCATAAAAAAGGTATTCTGTTCGAGTTTCCCCTCAGATGGGAAATAGAATAGTTGAATCGGCGAGGAGCATTCTTAATCAGTTTCTACCCGACATCTACATTTACACAGATCATATGAAAGGCTCACTTTCTGGCAAGTAAGTACAATGTTATTGTTTCTGAGTGTGTTCACAGTAAAGTGACAATTGAAGTATCTGGACTTTAAAAGGTTATAACTTAAAAACTAAAATTACTTTCATAGATTGGAAAAAATATTTCAAACACAGACACATTGAAGAGATAGTGTGGAAAAAATCAAAAGGAAAGATTGACATAAAAATGTTTAGCAACATTTTAAACGACCAAATGAGCCTCTGATTGGACCATTCTACTGTGACGCCAGTTACATAGAAAATAAAATGTCCTCAGTCTGAAAAGGCAGAAGATGAAATCCCACAGATTTACATGGTTAACACAACAGAAGGAAATCACTTGATATAAAAAGGAATCGTAAAAAAATAAAAAATAATTAATTAATTAAATGACCCCTGAAAAATGTATAACGGACGTGATGAGGACGGTCCTCTTTTCTCTAAAAATTAAACTTGAGAAGAAAAAAAATCTGGTCTGTTTTCACATTTAATTGGTTGACTAAATGAAAGTATCACTTTGTTTCTACTTTGTGTAAAAAAGTAGAATCTCTGAATCAAATGTGGACATCTGAAAATACGTCAAACTTCCACAGCTCATTCCGTCAAATCATCACGTCCGTTAGATAAAATAAACAGGGCCGCTATAGGAAACTTGTCTAATGTATAAAACAGTTATGTTCTAGCAACTTCTATTGGACAGAGGAGGTGCTTGGAAACATGAAAAACATAAAATATCTTCTGATTATTAAAATCTAATTTTTGGCCTTCTGTCACACTTTTGTGCCCTTTAGTGTGAACAAGCCCTTCTACATTCACCAAGGTTATGTCTTCACCAGTGTTTAACTGTTTGGTGGAAACACAAAATTCAATGTCTTGTGGGTGGATTTTATCAAGATGTTCAGGCCGTTCTATGGCCGTTTGAACATGAACTTTTCTATTCTGGCATTGATCTTGTGCACTTTTTTCTTTTTGTGATTTTAATGTATTAACTCTTTCTGTGTTAAGATCTCCAGGCTTTGGATTAACATTGGTGGCAGAGACCTTGAATGGTACTTTTCTTAGTGCTGAGGTATCTTCAACACCACAGGGTAAAGGTGACCCACTTCTTCCAGAGGACATTGGGAAAAACTGTGCCAAGCTGCTCTTAGATGAAATATACCGGGTACGTATCTATAAACACGTTTAAAATTTACTTTTCTCAGCTATTGGCTATGTTATAGTTGTATTCCCGTGTCATTTATACTCAAAGCTGTTTTCAACGTGATTCATGAATGTTTGAGTTATAACCTCAGATGCACCCATACATTCATTTTAGCTTGAAGGAAAAAAAATAATTGCTTCGAAACTATGTCTAAGGAAGAGCCTAGCTGCATGTTTCACTGACACTTGTAAGGGCCCGGAGGAGGAGCTACACTGTTACTGTATCACTTTGTAGCTCTATCTTAACATTTCATATGAACGAAGTTATCAATAAAGAATCATACATATTTATCATATTCTAGAGAACAAATGGGTTACGTCTCCTCTGAATAGATTCTACACTGGCATGATGTATTTCTATTAACGTCAGGCTTATCAACCAACAGAATTTTGCCAATACATGATTGTTCAAAAAATATGATGCAAATGCATGGATGGTAGTTTTGGGTTCACGCGGGTGTGGATGGTTCCATGCATGACAACTTTCTCTAAAGTAAGTATTTGAAAATAGAACTTACATAAAACCTAAAGGCATTACATTATGTGTGTATTTAACAGCTTAAGAAACAGCTTTGCTTTTGAAAGATCAGGTATACATTTCATATGGACATAAAATAGATTCTTTTTTTATTTAATGTTCAGCCACTATGACACAATTTTTATTTTCTAAATATGAGTAGGCATGTGCCATTTGACTATTTACGATACAAACAAATTAACAACTGTACTAACGTTGACAATTAACAGTTTTGCTACTTTTTACTTGCTTCTTTGCTAAAGTAACTACTATTACTTTGTGTTTATTTTTTTTGCCTACATTTGTTACGTGTGGCAACGTCAAGTTTTGGATAAAACTAGGTTATAATGGAAGATTCCTGTCAGGTTAAGTTTAGGTTAAGGTCTATTTCATTGTCTTGATGGGGACATGATTGTCACTGGAACATGCCAGTGACTGTGACTTAATCTGGCCTCTCATCGGAGCCATGTGAGTCTCTTTAACTGGTCAGGGTAGTGCTGATTAACTCTGAAAGAGGAATATTGTTACACAGATTCTCAAGCTCTGAGACGAGAGTTAACCATTCTGTGTGACAGACATCGGGCAAGTCGGAAGGTCTTTTAGAAATAGGACCTTTTAAACAACAATATGAGGTAAAGTGATATTTACATGATCCGTGATATTTGATTTTAGATCAGTCCGAACTATCAGTGTTGGAAAAGATTTTTTGTATGTACATATTAAGGCATTGAGGGCATAGACATCAAGTTGTCTGTTTGTTTTGTGGTTAATGAGTAGATTACTCGTAGTAAAAAAGGGCAAACACATTTTTCCACCACAATTGCTGTCTTGCTGTAAGTACATGAGGCTATTTTCAAATTCAGAATGTTCTGAAGTTGTGTAAAATGTACTAAGTTGGTGAAAATAGTTGTATGTTTTTCTTCCGGTGGGTTGGATGGACTTTATTTTTCTCTGCTGTTGTTAGTTTTGGATATTTAAGAAGACATAAGGTATGTGCCAAAGAAAATAACCCAATTTTCTTAAACTATTTCATATTTAGACTCATTACTTTTGACTAAAGATTTCCAGGGACTTTAAGAACAAATGCAAAAACTAACAAAGCAATGAATTATATTAGTTTTATTTTATTTTATATATTTCTTCTTCTTTAGACATGACACAGATGTGTTTGTAAAGTAGTTCTTCACTTGGCTGTTTCACAGGGTATCATTGTCTTTTATATGATTACATAATCTGTTGGCATTTGTTTAATAAAGTAAAGGTCAGGGGGTTACTTTCTCACAATGGTCAATGGATACTTTTACAATTTACAAGCTGCCATGAGGTTATTATGGTATGAAGCTTCGTTGAGGAAAAGAGCTGATCGTCTTTATAAACTGGTTCACTCACAAAGCCCAGTGTGTCATTTCAGATATTACCCATTTGATTTTTTTTTTGCCTTTTCTTTGGTGCTTTTATATAATGCCAAAACAAATTCTGAGGGGTGTTCGAGTTCTTTTCATCTCTTCACTTGTGACGTTTGTTTTTGAGCAACCAAAACAACCCATCACCCCTACTCTTTTCTCTTTTAGGGTGGCTGTGTGGATTCGTCCAATCAGAGCCTGGCATTGCTCCTGATGACCCTTGGCCAACCAGACGTGTCCAAGGTGCTGCTCGGACCCCTCTCCCCGTACACGTAAGGCTTCTGTAGATAATTTACAAGTGGTCCTTTTGAATTTGATGGACATTTCTACGAACTCATGTTACACCCTGTAATTGCATTTCTTTCTAATTGTGTATGCACAGGAGATTACAATGAACTGTCCATTTTCAGTTATCATGGTACCGGTGCTGTGTCCCTCTCGAGTACAGTACTATGATAACTGAAGATTGGCAGTGCTATCACAATACTGCCTCTTCATTTTCGCAGCGTTTGTCCGTCACCAGCATAGCATTTGATGACGGTTGTTCTCTTTGTGTTCCAGGATTGAATTCCTCAGGCACATAAGAGATTTTTTTCAGATCATGTTCAAAATTGAAGTCCAAAAACCTCTTGAAGATGAAAGGAAAGGTGGAGACAAAACGCTCATGACTTGTGTTGGAGTTGGCTACAGCAACATCAATAAAACTATCAAATAAAACTTTTTTACAAACCCAATGCACCAATGACATTTATTACTAGTTAGTTGGAAATAACACAAAAACAATATAGTTTGTATACATATCAAAGTATGAACTTCTCGCTGCACATGACGAATTAACCAAGGCGTGGGTAGAAATGACTGGAATTCTTCAGGGGTGAAAACAGTGCTGCTGAATCGGTTCAGAACTGCGTCGCTGGAACGCAAGCCACATGTTTCTGATGAGGGGAGTTAGTCTTGTCCACATACTAGTTTTAGTACGTCACCATAGCAACCGGATACCTCGGACTGCACAAACAGGAAAAGGGTTTTTCAGATTATATTTACTATAGTTTTAACATTGTTTTATTCCATTAAGGGCATCAAACAAAACCTTTAAATAAGATAAGATAGACTTTTGATCTCAGGAGAAATTTAAATGATTGCAGTTTACATAGTTTTAGTCGAGAATAGCATTCAGTTCACCTATAAATGTATTATATTGAGGGGGACATAAGCAAAAATGAATTCCAAGTAGTTGATTTTTGACCCTTCTGTCTTCAAACAAAATTATAGTAAGATTCAAGCTAATAAATTGTGGATTCTTGCACTTACAGTGGTTTTCAAAGTGGGGGGCAGTATCAGATGAGTTGCAGATAACACAATCGCCATCCAACCACAGGTTTTGGTGCTGGACATTTATAGATTGGGTTCACTGTTGTCTGTATGTTCCATTGACTCCAGTTTTCCTCAAAGTCACTGGTTCAATATGAGAACAACAGCTAAATCACCAGGAAGATGGAGCAGACCGCAGCAGAGTCTTATAAAATAAACCTATGAGGGTTTTACCACAGATCAGAGGAACATGGAAAGTACTTAAAACCAAAGGCACTTTCTATGTTCGCAATCTGGAGAGTCATGAGAATATTTCAAGATACGATTCATAATTTCACCAATGACGATGGTTTTAAAAGACTCAACATGTTTTGATCCATCCAATAATTACTGCTTTAAATGTATCTGCCAATACATATCTTCAACAGAAAAGATCACTGAAAAGTTTGAGAACCTGAAATATTTTATCATTATACTATAAAATTAGGCATTCAAAAAAGATGAATGATGAGATTTCAGTAATCTGTATAATACTTCAATCCTTTTGAGACACTCCTGGACTTTACCAACCTCAAGTTGAGAGTAGAGAGAATATCCATAAAGCTTTTTGTACTCTGCTCTGATGTCCAGCAAATCAACCTCTGAGCGACTTACAATAATCCTGGTTAGAGTGGACTCAGTGGTACCTGCACCCTGAAAGAAAAATACTGTTAGATGCTAAATATATATGTATTTAATCTTTCTATTAAGGTATTCATGCCACATAACAATTGTAACCTACACATATCAGTAACAGGCTGTGTACAACTGAAAGTACTGGGCTTCACTTTAGGTTTTTGTTTCTACTGTAAAAGGACATGTACATCAAAAAAAGAGTCAACATTCAGGGGATAGCACTCTCGTTTCTCAGCAAGAAGGTCCTGCGTTCGAATCCCGGTCGGAACAGGGTGTTTCTGAGTGGAGTTTGCATGTTCTCCTGCGTAGGTTTCCTCCTGGTGCTCCGGTTTCCCCTACCACTAAAAGCATGCACTCTAGGTTAAATCCTCCAGCTCCGGCAATCCTGACCGAGCCAGGCATCAACATCTGGAGACGGGTTCCTGCCGACCACTGATCCTGGCGTAAGCCTTAGTGGCATCAGGATGGGTCAAATGCAGAGGATGAAATACCTACGGGAATTAAACCAGTGCACCTTTACCTTTACACAGCTTGTTCAGTGAGGCTAAAGTGCCACTGGTTACAATACGTGGATTTAAGCTTCAGCAGAACAGTGGTCAGTGCTTCATGATGAAAGGTTTGTTTACCTTCATGCTCTTGAACAGTAGTTCTGCAAGGTATGCTGGGACATTCATCACACATTTCACTGGAGAAAAAAAAAAACCAGGTCATAAGAAAAGCAACCATTCCCTCAAATAAATTCCTAGATGTTTATAAGATAATAATCTAGAATCCTTTGTTTCTCCCATTTTCAAGATTTGCTGAATACAAAAACCTTGGAGGAGGCATTTACACATCTAAATGAAAAGACTAAGAATATGAATATATATAATATGAATATTAATGAGAATTCTTACCAACAGCAACAAGCAGTTTTTCCAGATTGCCGGACATCTCACTTTCTATGCTTTCCTGTAGAGTTTTCTTGCTGATTGCTTTGTACTCAACCAAAGCTGTTTAATGTTTTTAAAATGTCATTTTTGTTTTTAAATTTCATCCAATTAAAACTACTTTCAAATGTGAACTTACTTTGTCTCAATTGAGGAATACTTCTGTGGCATAAGATATCAATGAATTTGTCTTCGTCAGTCCCCCACTTTTTCTCACCTGCGTCATACAAGGCCTACCAATTAGAAAAAAACATACATTATTTGTTTTGTTCCATAAAAAGATAGCAAATTAAGTTCATACCTTTGCATCTGCCTTGGCTTTAGCAGTGTCAACATGTGTGCTCTCATCTCGTTTTCCCTGTTACATTTACATTGCAAATTGTAAGATAAGATAAACCTACATGATCTCACAATGGAGAACTTCACACGTTGCCATGGTTACAACTGATTCATGAGAACTCATTTGATCGATTCTTACCTCAGCGAGGATGATCAGGGCTTTTCCATATTCCCCAGATACCTCCCCCTTTAAGTCATCAAGCAATGTTCTCCCCGTTTCTTTTGTCACAGCACCAACAAGACAATAGTTATCCAATGTTTTATATACATTTTAAACATCAACTTAGTTTACATATGTACAAACCAGAAGAGTAAGCTTCAGACAAAGCTTTCATTTGTTTGTTTGAGCGAGAGGCAAATATTTCAGTCAATGTACTCTCTGTTGTTCCAGCTGCCTGTGGAAAATACACAATTTTAAAAGGTACATTTATTGAATGCGAACATCCCTTAGAAAAGTGATTGCTTAGATATTGTTTACCAATACAATGATCCCACCTTTATTGCTTTTCTGACTTCTCGACAGTCATACATTGCTGAAGGTGTCATCAAAGCAACAAGTGCATCCTCAAAATCTCCATGAGTGTCTCCCTCCAAGTCATCCACCAGTTTCTGAAACATTATAAGTAAATATTAGCTTGTCACACATGTTTGTATTAAATATGTCAGACAGTCACCCTTCCGGTTGCTTTCTCATAAGCTTGTGCAATAAGTTGCCTCTGTGCACTACTTCTTTGAGTCAACACCTCAATCAGTGTTTTTTCAGTTGTACCTATATGAAGCAGACACCTTATTAACAAAACAAAACAAATATTGTCAATAGTGAATACTAGAACATACCAAGACCCTCTATGGCAGTCTTTAATGCAGATACATCCTGGTCAACATTGAAACTTGGGTTGTCTTTAACAGTTCCTTTTGTATTTGTCTGGAACACATAATGGATTAAGAATAGACACTGTTTGAATACAGCATCACATGCTTTGCATAACTTCCCAAGTTTCCAAACTAACATAAATCCACTTACAGCGATGGTGAGTGAGGAAGGAGAGTCCAAAAGCAATTCCAAGTCATCCTACAATGCCAAACATCAACACAGGCCCAATAGTGTTCAAATAGAGCACATATAGGCTACTTACCCATACAGACATTTTGAAGCAAGGTAGATATATCAATCTGTAGAAACAATGATTAATGGCAGTAATCCATTGCATTAGATGACCTCAAAGTAGAAATGTTTGCCCAGATGTCCAACGCAGTACTATAACCACGGTAAATTTGCAGCTTTCCAAACACAAAAAACGTTGCCCTGATTGATGTTGAAAGATATCTTACCAATGTGAAAGGCAGACAAATGTATCGTGCCAATGGAGGATTTTTTTTAACCGTACACAGAACTGCCGCACCTTTTTCACACAAGTCCAAGGAAACGCCCATTAGGAGGAAGTTGTATCTCTGGGACTGGGACACGGACACTGCGGTAAAGTGGCCCCGCTTTAGTCCATGGACGCGGTGAAGGGGTCCGCACATTGAAAGCGGTTGGCCCCTTTATGCTGTTACTTACGGTAAACGTGGAACGGGAAGCCACGACGACAAGCAAATTAAATGCAATTTTTTTTTAAATCATAAAAAAAGAGTTTTGCGACTACTTTCACCGTTTTTTGTAAAACGAAACTGTTTACTAGTGATGGCAATATGAAGCCCCATGAAGCCTTGAGGGATCGCAGCCTATTACTCGGCCCATAAGTCGAAGGCTCGAGGTGAATCATGCTCCACTACGCCATCATGTGGACAAAGAAATACATAACACTCTTAAGTGCTTACAATGAATGGTGAGATCTAATGTTAAAATGTATATTTACAATCTATGGTCTAACGTGTTGTGTTTGAAATGATGCTTCATGAACTATGAACTATTTGAGTCTTTCAGTCAATTGTGTTGATACAACAAACACATCCAAAGTAATACAGTTCTACAGAAAGTGATTAATGGAGGAAAAACTACCAAGAGGTGGATTAATTAAACACAACAAACCATTTATTCCCAATAAATAAATACATTTACTTTGCAACACAAAATTTATTATGGGTAGACCGGGATTCAAACGCTTCTTCTGCTTCGGAGTCCGTCATATACCGACTGCGCCACACAGTTGTTGTGAAAAATATTATCCAGCGTATTATTACTAATAACTTGAAGCCTTGATATGAGGTTTTACTAAAGTGAAAAGTTTTTAATTGTATTTCATATGAAGTAGTTTCTCTATACTTAGTACAGGACTGCTCCACATCACGCACATACACGTACGCACACACACGTACGCACACACACGTACGCACACACACGTACGCACACACACGTACGCACATACACGTACGCACACAGAGGCAGACGGGGACAGCCATACAGTCTATGGTACAGCCGCGGATCACAAAGCACCTGTCAAAGCAATGCACTCTCCGAACTATATGAAGCTCTATATGAACCGTCACGTGGTGCGGCCGCTACGCGAGGCTTCGAACGTCATCACACACGTGACCAATACACGCCTCGACCCACACTTCACAAGAAACGCCCCCAGATTACTCGGTCCACGCTTCGAAGGAGAGAGGGCAAGCACGATTTGCGACTCACGGCAACTTCCGGTGACTCGCGTGACTCAGGCGCTCTGAGTCGCGGCTCACGCTCAGCATTCAGGGGTCGTGGCTCACGGTTATCAATTTAACTTTTTAGGGGTATCTGTGGATTATCAATGACACATTGTGGATCTGGAGGCATATATTTACAAGTAACCAGTATGTTACACACTCTTCATCATCTGGTATGTGTTTATATAGCTCTCCATGTTCGTTAACCACTGACTCAGGAGCTGTGAGTCGCGACTCAGCAGTCAGAAGTCGAGGCTCACAGTTAAAAATACCACAAATCTTTGCTTTTTAGGGGTTTCTGGGAATTTCTATTGAGACAATATGGATCTGGAGGCATAGTTTACATGTAATCAGTATGTTACACACTCTTCATCAGCTGGTATTTGTTTGTATAGATCTCTATGAACTGTTCACCACTGACTCACAGCTCCTGAGTCGCGGCTCAGGAGCTGTGAGTCGCGGCTTAGCAGTCAGAAGTCATAGCTCACGGTTAAAAATACCACAAATCTGTGCTTTTTAGGGGTATCTGGGAATTATTAGGGGCAACAGTGACTCAATTGGCAGAGCTTTGGTCTTTGGACCTAATGATCGTGGGGTCGTGCCCCCACAACCACCTGCTCCCACTGAAGCAAGACGCCCCATCGTGGTATCTTATATACAGTCATGGGACCTCATGAATGAGTATGAGCACAAGTATGTGGAAACGGCACAAGTATGTGGAAACGGCACAATACTAATATTGGTATTGGTGCATCCTTAGTAAAATAAACAGACTCAGTATTAGCAGCGCAGGTTTACAGTCATAGTGCAAGTGGTTGATTAAGTGATACAGGCCTAAATACAGATTATTACATGTATTTGCAGGGCTTATTTCATATTCTAATGAAAAAGACTTTTTAGGAGTATTTATGAATTATTAATGTATCTGGATGAACATTTTCCATGTCCTCAGTGCCTCATACATACTTTACCAGCTGATATGTGTTTGTATTACTCTATTGTTAACAAGTGACTTACGAGACATAAGTCAGGACTCGTCTGCTGACACCAGGGGGCGCTGTCTAATCTCATGTTGAATCATGCACGACGTTGGACATCTCGCTTGCAATTTAAATTTCACCAAAATATTGAGGTAGGTTATTTTGTTTCGTTTTTTGGAATCTGTCTTTTAATCATTTTAACATTTTAAAGGGCATGACATTTAAACAGGAAAAAAAAAAAAAACTTGTGTAAAATTCCTTGGTTGTAATTCTGTGGCTTCAAAGAATACACAAAACTTGCAGATACAGAGCAGAGTGTATACTCCATAGGACAAAAGATGAGGCAAGGTGTATAACACAGGTTTGGTCACATAAGAAATAAATAACTAAAAAACCACTGAGACATTATTATTTGTTATTTATTAATAATGCTAAAGGCATTTGAAAAAATACATACAATACACAAACAAACACAATTATAAAAGCCACTTGTACCAATTTGTCCTTATAGTAATATAATGTGGATGACAAAGTGAGCCAAGAACCCAGAGTAGAGATTTCTTTGTCTTTGAACAAACACAAGCATCAGGGCATTTCATTTCAGGGCATTTTAATTCTAAAAAAAATGATTATTGTTAACTTTAGAGGATAGTGTGCTGAGGTGGACTTACTATTGTAAATAGAGAATTAAAGAGAAAGACCCTAATGACATAATTTTATATGATCATGTTACCGAACCCAGATGTTCAAAATACAGAATTCAAGTAACTTCTGTTGTGGTGAAATGTTTGAAGATGCTTATTTGAGCCTTTGGTGGCCCAGTGGCTGTATGACTGCTGCATGGCACCTGTACTTTCCCTCATAACTGCCGTGATCATCCTGAATCAAATGTTTTAGGGTTTCCAAAAAGTGTAGCTCCCTTATACCCTTTAAACATCTGATCCTGGAGCATTATACAGGATACAAATGCAGTGGAAATACAGGTGTCATGCTGCAGCCATCAAGACATGTTTTTCTCCTTAATGCCTCTTTTCTCTCATTTCTTTTCTATGCAAAAATTAAGTGTAGTTAACCGGTTATTCTTGAATTACAGAACTACTGAGACGACACATCAAGATGAGCCACACACAGAAGAGAAGGAAAACAAACTTTATAAAAAAATGCACAACGTAATTCACTTTAATAGACCAATTATAAAGAATAAAGATTTGGTTTAGGTTTGATACATTTCAGTTTTGCACTTGGCTGTAGCTAATACATTTGCACACATTGCACTATAACATGAACATTTGTTTCCACATGAGCTGTTACTTTGTCTCCCAATACAGGAACATATACAGCTCAGTCATGAATAGCAGCAGAGTGGTGCCGCACATCACTGGAAGGACATGTTGAGCTACGTGCTAATGTATAGAATAAGCCCACACCTGTTCAAAAAGGTGTTGCTGCGGGTTCGAAGTAGTCATTCTGCGGCCTGCAGGACAGAGGCGTGTCGTGAAGTAGGCGTGTAAACTATGCCTCCAGATCCATATAGTCTCATTAGAAATTCCCAGATACCCCTAAAAAGCAAAAATATGCTGTATTTTAACTGTGAGCCACGACTCACAGCTCCTGAGCCGCGACTCACAGCTCCTGAGCCGCGACTCACAGCTCCTGAGCCGCGACTCACAGCTCCTGAGCCGCGACTCACAGCTCCTGAGCCGCGACTCACAGCTCCTGAGCCGCGACTCACAGCTCCTGAGTCAGTGGTTAACGAACATGGAGAGCTATATAAACACATACCAGATGATGAAGAGTGTGTAACATACTGGTTACTTGTAAATATATGCCTCCAGATCCACAATGTGTCATTGATAATCAACAGATACCCCTAAAAAGCTAAATTGATAACCGTGAGCCACAACTTCTGGCTGCTGAGTCGCGGCTCACAGCGCCTGAGTCACGCGAGTCACCGGAAGTTGCCGTGAGTCGCAAATAGTGCTTGCCCTTTCTGCTTCGAAGACTCGGTCCGCTCAGCACATCACTACTGTTTACAAAAAAAAAAAAATAACAATTGTAAACCGCTTTGTGACCCTTGTCTGTGAAAGGCGGTATATAAATAAACATTACTTACTTACTTACTTACTTTATGCCTTCTACCACTGTGCCAAATAACATTCACTTTTACTGTAGAAATTCAGAGAAAATTGGGCTCAAAGTGTGCATATTTGGTCCCAAAAGCACTTTTCAAAAATAATTTTACATTTTCTTTAAAAAGTTCCTTGACCACTTTCACTGCACACTTTCACACTTTTATGCCCGCTACCACTGTGCCGAATAACATTCACGTTTACTGTAGACATTCTGAGAAAATTGGGCTCAAAGTGTGCAATTTTGGTCCCAAAAGCACTTTTCAAAAATCATTTAAAAATTGCACACTTTGACCCCAAAAGAGAATGTTACTCTGCACAGTGGTAGAGGACATCACAGTGAACAAGTGAGCAGTGAAAATAGTCGCAAAACTCTTTTATTTTTTATTTATTTTTATTTTTTATTGCATTTCCTTTGCTCGTCGTCACGGCTTCTCTTTCCAATACAGTCTATGCCAGGGGTCTCCAACTCAAGGGCGTAGGTTTGCGTGGGGACCATGGGGACATGTCCCCACCAATATTTGGTGAGGACTAAAAAGTCCCCACCAAAATGACATGATGTCCCGTGACCCGGACGGTCCGGGACACATGTCTTCCGTTTGTGCACACGTCGCGCCTCCTCCTCGCCTCCAGAGCAACAGCAGCAGCAGCAGCACGTGACCCGTTCCGTTCTCTGCAGTGATTGGCTGTCTTCTTCAGCGCCAAACTGAAGCACTGAGCAACTGTTTAATTTTTAAAAGTTAGCCAGCGTGAAGCAAGTGTTTTTTTTTATTCCCTGAGCGTTGTAGCACGTGAGTAATCAGAGGAAAGTACTGTAGATCTATTACCATTCAAAGTACTTACGTTATTTCTAATCTGTCAGCGCACTGTTTAATGTTCCGAGGAGCTCACACGGCACAGAGACAGAACAGAACTGGCTCCAATAAAGAAACAGGTTGGTTGAAAGGCTGAAAAAATACTTATTGTGCTCTTACAATCCAAAATGTATAAGTGGGTGTGTTGTGTGAATCAGGATAAACTAGTGATGAAGATATTCCACGGATCCACGATGTACAACCTTTATCTGCTGATAATGTAATTTCTGTGAAATGTGTGACAGCGGGCACTTGCTGTTATTTGCTCTAAGCACATTCAAGCGATGCACTCGAATGTGCACGTCCTGGTGCAGCTGCTGCCGCTTTGTAATGACAGCCGCGGCGCTCAGTGAAAGCACAGCTCTAACATGGTACCGAGCTCGGACCATATGCAGACAGAACCATGTTGCAAGTGCGGGTCTCCCTCGTATCTCCCCCGTTTCTCCCCTGTGTCTCTGACATGTCTCTCCCCTGACTCTTCCCAAAGCGCAACCAGCGCTCCCGAAATTAAAGCTCGGATACCTAAATTTTCCATTGCGTTAACGATGCATGCTGGTTGTGCGCAAAACACACCACAACAGGTCATTTAAGTTTTTATTTTGCATACTTGAGAGCCCTGTGAGTCATTACTTGCCTTTTTGGGTAGAGAGTGGAATAAAAAAAAAGAAAATATAGAAAAATCCACACTGTTACTTATTGCCAAACTCTTGTTAACTCATTGTATTGAGAAATACTATGTAACTTTTGACATTGGCCAAGTTATATAAATGATTCTGCAGTTCATGTATATGAATGTCTGTTTTTGATTGTCTATACCTTCTTATATAATTTAGAAAAAATGCCACCTCCACAAAAAAAGATAAAAGATATCAGGAGCTTTTTTAACAGTTGGAAAGTAAGTAAGCGAAAGCACAAGTAATAGCAAATTATGAATTGTGATGATTAATCTTCTGTTAACATACTGTACATAGGAAACTCAACCAACAAGAGAGAACAATATAGGGAATGTTGAGGTAGAAGCAACAGGCCCTTCAGTGCATCAGGCGAGGTTGGAATTTTGTAGGTATGCATGGGACTATGAATTGTTTTTAGAGATTGATCGTATGTCAAACAATGTAGTGAGCTACTCACTGTAGATTCTAATTCAATATTTTCTCCTCTGTTTTTATTTATTATAGGAAATTGAAAGATCAGAGCATGATTTATTTCAAGTATCGAGAGCAGTTCCTGAACTGTTAGAGCCTCAGGTGAGGGCTATTATGTAGATTTGGGTTAGGTTTAAGTCAGTATAGAATCATACTAAAGTTAAAGAACATCATTTGGTTGGAAATTACCTATGCCAATTACAACATATTTTACTACTATAATGATGCAAAAAGTGTTGTCTGAAATCTTTTACTAAATATAGGACACTCTGAGAGATATAATGGAAATTCAAGAAGGAGATAAAGACAAGGACAAGACAGGACTCCAGGTGAGGTTAGGATCAAGCAGTTAAAATCTTAGACCCATCAACCAATCCTAGTTTCATGAGATATTTAGCGACTGGTGTACCATGCCTAGGTTTCATTTTATTCAATGTAGAATGTGTGTTTTTATTAATACCATAAAGGAAAGTCAGACAAACAGGGAATGTGCAGTGCTGGTAGAGGATGAGGAAGTGGCTGGACCTTCAGGGCTTCAGGTGAGGTTGAAAGTATTTATTTGGTTTTGTTGGTGGTTTTATTTTGTATATGATTAGATCTGATTTGTTTAATGTACTACATGTGTTTTATTTATTATAGGGAACTCAGGTATTCAGGGAAGATGTAGTGCAGGCAGATATCGAAGCTGGGCTTCAGGTGAGGCTGGAATTATGAAGATAAAATATGGGATTTTTTAAAGTTTCATAACAGTGTATTTGCTATTTAGGAGGCAGCTAATGAGAGTCACTCTCAAGAAAGTGCCAGGGACAGCATATTTGAGATAGGTTGTAAACCATATCAGCCTGATCCTGAATACAGGATATATTTACTATCTTATTTACTATAAACATTTAAGCCATCTTGTGGACAAAGTTAGAATGAACGCAACACAAAACTCAGAAGTTCTGATCCAATTGATTTTGTTTTAACGATTAGAAAAAATCCTTAACTGCTTCTCATTCAGTCTACAGCTGAGTTTAGTATAGAAGGCGACACACTATTGCAAATATAGTGTGTGATTACACAACAAATTCTGGGGGAGAAACTCTGGACCCCGTGTCAATGGGTGTAGACTCAGGTCGTAGTGAATGTCCCCACCAAGATTGGAACCAAACCTACACCATTGCTCCAACCTGTAGCTCGGGAGCCACCAGTAGCTCACCACCCCCTTCCAGGTAGCTCGCCAAAGGATTTAGAAATGAACACATCAAATTGATATTTCAGATTGTATTATTCATTATCATTATTTATTATTGTAAATGCATTAACTTTGCACTTTTACACCAATATATTACCTTTTTTTTTTTTTCAAAGTTTGCTTAAAGGAGTAGCTCTCTGCCTTTATCGTCCCGGGAAAGTAGCTCTCTGGGTGAAAAAGGTTGGAGACACCTGGTCTATGCTCTTTCCATGTTTACCGTAAGTCACAGCATAAAGGAGCCAACCGCTTTCAATGCGCGGACCTCTTTACCGCTGCCGGCGAAAAGCGGGCCCACTTTACCGCGGTGACTGGGATCACGGTCCCGCATAGATGTATCTTTATCCATATCTGGATAGGGCATTATACACACGGGATAGGGCCCATGTGCTTCCCGCAGTACTGCAAATAAATCAGACTGTATTCCCTTGGATCTCAGAGCTACTGTAGGGCTTCTGTACAGACTGTGAAAGTGTGACATCTGCTGGTGATGGTTTTGGCCAGATAATTATACTTATACTAGAATTATACTAATATGTCGATGATTATAATTATCATTCTTTTTTGTAAGAGTCCATAATGAGCAGCAACACCCAATTGTTTTTATTGTTGTTATTATTACTTGTTTTTATTTATTTATTATTTTTTTTAAATATGCACTTAATACACTTAACATTATTATTCGCAATAAAATCATTATATTATATGATTAGATAAAAAACACTTTTTGGGAAAGCCAGTGTTGCTGTCGGTTCGGTCCTGGTCCAGTGTCCGCTGTAGTACTGCCCAAGACGTGTCACAGAGCTTTTTTTTAGCATATTGTTAGGTCTATGCGTATTCATGGTGCTGATTATTCTGTTCAAGATGAAGATGTCTTTCACACAAACATTCGAACATGTTTGTGTTCAGCGGGTTTGATTGCTTTTTAATTGGCCACTCAGGCTGATGCTAACAGATTAGCATTAAGCTAACAGCCACAACAGGACCTGAAGAAGGAGTAGTTACATGTATCACACGCTTTTCTCATTATTAAGTTCTTTAAATGGCCGGTCGTGGCTTGGAATATATACACGCAGTTATGGGTCTGATTTGAGGTAATCATCTTTCAGTTTGGTAGCCTGCTCTCCTTTGTTTACATGGCTGTGGTTCATGCTTATTGTGCTACTCTTGAAAGCATAAGAAACGCGTTGATAAACATCTGTGTTTGGACCAATCATTTGGACTAATAATGCTTTACGAAACTGTTTACAAAGATTATGAAAAGGCCTCACCTGGAGGATTACACCAGGAGTGCGAGTGGCTTTTGGAGAAGGGGCACATATTGCTTTGCCCAATTTGATTTTTTGTGAGAAAGATTTGGCAAGTTCTAAGCAGTCAAGATGGTTCTTCAAAGAGTGCTTCTTGTTACCTGCCTCGTCGTGAGCTTTGTGAAAGGACAAGAGGGTCAGAACATGACCCCAGAGGAGAAGACTGTCATCAGGTATAAATATTTTGTAACTATTGTACCTGAAAATATTGCTATCTTATACTAACAATATATATATATTTATATAATGATGTACTAATTATTTACAGGGATCAGATTGTGGAAATGTTCGACCATGCTTACGGGAATTACATGGTACATTTTATTTTACATACATAAGCACATGACATCTCTAATTTGTCTTGATTGAAATTGATGACTTTTTATCTAGTTACTTTTGAGTAAATCTAGTGAAATCTATGAAGACACTGCTACATGGATATTATTTAATTATAAGCTGTTTCAAACTTGTTTTTCTTTTTGAAGAAATATGCTTATCCAGCTGACGAGTTGATGCCTCTGAGCTGTAAGGGCAGAGTTCGTGGACAGGAGCCTAACAGAGGTGACATTGATGATTCTTTGGGCAAGTAAGTCTTTTTAAGTCTAATTTAATGTTTTGCTTGTCTGTATGTGTGTATACATGATTATGTTAAATCTTTTAGGTTTTCTCTCACACTAATTGACACCCTCGATACACTGGTGGTAAGTGTGTTGTCTTTTAAGTCCACTCTTTTGTCATTATTATGTATATATAATATGTTTTGCTTCTAAGGTGCTAAACAAGCTGGATGAGTTTGAAGAAGCAGTGAAAAAGGCAGTGAGGGATGTACGCCTTGATAATGATATTGTCGTGTCAGTGTTCGAGACAAATATTAGAGTTTTGGGGTAAGGATTATGTCATACAACTCGATGGTTAGAACAACATGTTTAGTAATGCAGTTATTCATGTAATTTATTCTTTCCTAAAATGCTCAGAGGTCTGCTGGGTGCCCATGTCATGGCTGACCTGTTTCGTCAGCGAGGGGAGAGAATGCAGTGGTACAAAGATGAACTCTTAGACATGGCCACAGACTTAGGTCATCGTTTGCTTCCTGCTTTCAACACCACAAGTGGTCTTCCCTACCCAAAGGCTTGTTACTTTTTTTATTTTTTTTATTTTTATTATTTTTTATTTCAGCCACTCACCAGACATGTACACACAGGACACACAACACAACATAACGCAAAGACAAATCCCACCCACCAAGCAACCTCAAAACAAAATACACAAGCCCGCCGACAGATACATAACTAACAAGCAAGACAAAAAAAAAAAAAAAATATATATATATATATATATCTAAATAAACAACAACAACAAAATAAGAAAAACAAACCAAAATAAAAACATAGAGACCAAACACACACAAGTCCCCGAGGCCTTCATCCACTTCTCCATTCTCTCATTTCCCAGTTTCTATGCGACATCAGTCCCATTTCAACATCTTCCATTTTTTTTCGTGCACAATTATCCTTTTTGTGTTTGAAGCTATTATTTTTTCCATTTCATATTGTTGTTTCAGTTTATTTTTAAAGTTATTCAAACAGAGTTCTGTATTGGTTTTACATTTAAAGATAACAATTTTACCCATCAGGATGATTACACACAAAGGCTTGTTACTTTTGATTAATGGTCAACTCAATGTGTTTATTTACCATTTTATTTTGTAACATTATTGGCCAGTAGTTCTTCTTGAGGTGTTTATATTTGAATGGTTGTTTATGTTTAGATAAATCTTCGGTATGGAGTCCTCAACCCTCTTTCCCGCATTGGCACTGAAACCGACACGTGCACGGCCTGCGCTGGAACCATGATTTTGGAGTTTGCTGCTCTGAGCCGATTGTCTGGGGAATCTGTTTTTGAGGTTGTCATATTTATTCTGCACATTGAAGATGTAAAATCAATATTTATAATTTAAAATATATTTATATTTAACCGGTTTCTTTCATTACAGAAATATGCCCGAAAAGCTCTAGATGTCCTTTGGGACAGGAGACAAAAAGAAAGTGATTTAGTTGGAACTGTGATCAATATTCATAATGGAGAATGGATCAGGAGGGGTGAGCTTGGCTTATGAACTACTACAAGAGTGGCTTGGAATAATATAACTTCAAAATACATGTAAATGAAACATCTGCAAAACCATTGCATTTGTTACTTACAGACAGTGGAGTTGGTGCTGGCATTGACTCCTACTATGAATATCTGATGAAGGCTTATATTCTACTTGGAGATCCTGTTTTTCTTGAAAGGTTTAACATTGTAAGTCTTCTGCTTGTGTCTTTTTTTTTCTAATTGCTTTTTCTTTCTATTTTAATTTCTGTATGTTTAACATAATTAGATCAATCTATGTTATTTCCTTGTCGCAGCATTACACTGCAATCATGAAGTACATCAGTCAACCTCCACTTTTGCTCAATGTTCATATGCATAATCCAACTGTGAGTGTGCGTAGCTGGATGGATTCACTCTTGGCCTTTTTTCCTGGTCTTCAGGTCAGTAAAGCTGTCATGCATGAACTGTTTTCAAGAAATACAAATCTTATTGTTGTATTGTTGTGAATCTATTTAATAGGTTTTGCGGGGCGATCTTAAACCAGCTATTGAAACCCATGAGATGCTTTACCAAGTGACTAAGCAGCACAAGTTTCTTCCTGAGGTATTGTGTCTTGTTTACATTGTAAATGATAATATGTGTGTTGTATATTACACTTGATCTGTGTTTGGCATTAGGCTTTCACTACAGAGTTCAGAGTTCACTGGGGTCAACACTTACTGAGACCAGAGTTTGCAGAGAGCACTTACTACCTCTTCAAGGTAAGTTTAGTATAAAATGTATTATTTTAATTTCTTCATTTTATTCAGGTTATGATTATTTCTTTTTAGGCTACTGGCGATCCCTACTACCTCAAAGTTGGACAGTCTATTGTTGAAAAGCTCAATGTCTATGCCCGAGTGCCTTGTGGGTTTGCTGCCGTGCAGGATGTTCGCACTGGAACACATGAAGACAGGTATTGAATATTAAATTCCTTTACTGTTATGAAAGTTTTTTGAAATTGTCTATTTATTGATACAAATTTTGTGCTGATCTAATGACATGAAATGTGTTTGTAGGATGGATTCCTTCTTCTTAGCAGAGATGTTTAAATATCTGTACTTGCTGTTTTCTGAGAAAAGCCAACTTCCCATCAACATAGATGACTATGTTTTCACCACAGAGGCTCACCTTCTTCCCGTATCGCTCTCTACTAAGCTGCCCCCTTGTTATGATAATATAACAGTATGACTACTCGTTAAAACATTGTATTAGAAAAAGGGGAAGTCCTAAAGTTTTGTTAACTCCTGTATTTATTTAGTATACTGAGGTCTCCCAAGCCGAAGATCTGTTCACACACTCCTGTCCAAGCCCTGAAACACTCTTCCCAAACAACCCTGCTTTTGCTAAAAGCATTCGAGATGGCTACAAGTATCTCACTGGGGTTGGCCGGGCTTTTAAACCTCTTCCATACAGGTGTGCCCATGTTTTGTCTCTTCTGAATACAAAAAATATTGTAAATTAATTAATTTAACCACATTTCTTGCAGAGAGATTGAATTACCACTGCACGACAACGGAATGGAGTCCATAGAATTTTTTAAAAGTATGGGTATTTCCCTTATGCCTCTGAATGACGCTATGGCTGGAAGTTCTAAGGTGTAGTTACACAAATATTTTAAAGTTTGTTATGCGCCTTCATATAATTATATGATTTTATTTCATCAGGAGCAGAAAGGGGTTTATCAAATTAAACTAGTTGCTGAATTGAGTCAAACAACTGAAGAAGAGGTGGTTCCACATATTGTGCAGCTGATATCTCCACCCTATTTGGGTCGCACAGTCCTAATCGCTGGACCAGCAAAGTTTGGTCTGGACCTCACTAAACAGGAACATGGGGTAAGACTACAATGTTTAGCAAAGCCTTGTTATTATTTGAAAATGGATTGTATAATTGAGGTGTTGTTGATATTATTATTTAAGGCCCCATACTAATATTTCTGTGCATATATATATTTATGTCCTATGCAGTTCAAATTTGGTAGCATCTTCCTATGTACTTTTTTTTATCTCAAAGTAATTCTCACTTCTTAAAAAGTGCAATAGCAATAGTTGCAAGAGAGAATTTCTGTTTCTGCAAAAACAATCCCGACCATTTATTTTTGTTGCCCCTATGGTTTGTAGGTGAAAGGGAGTATTGTGAAAGCAGTGCCATACATTGCCTGTGGCCCTCTGGAGAATAGTCAAGACATTAAAGGACACATTGCACTGGCTTTAAGAGGCGACTGCATGTTTGCTGCAAAAGCCCGCCAGCTTCAGAACGCTGGAGCCACTGGAGTCATCTTTATTGGTTTGAAATATCTGTAACAATTCTTCATTTAAACGACATTATTACCACTGTATGTCTGTTTTAAACTGCAGATCACAGAGAGGGAAGCAACAACAATGATTCTCCACTGTTTCAAATGGTGGGCGACGGAGGCTCAACTGCAGAGGTCACAATACCCCTGGTGTTCTTATTCAGCCGTGAAGGTCAAGTGCTTCTAGATGCTTTGGACGAACATCATAACGTGGATGTGTTGCTGTTACCCAAAGAGAGACAGTTGGGACAAGGTACAACAGTGGAAATACTATAATAATAATATAATTACTTATATACTATATGGTCATTTACTATCTAGTAACTATCCATTGTATCCATTACATGTATTTATCTTTTATAACATTTGAGAAACCATTGACCAATATACAGTAACATTTCCTCAGTATAATTGCAAAAATAATAGCTTTCTACTCTACAACTGTTACTGTCATTCTAATTGATCAATGTGATTTATAGTCAATCATTCATGAATCAACAAATTGACTGGACAACAAAATAGTTTCACTACTTTACTGAGATTATGTAGCTCGGGAGGATGCTTGTTCCAGAGTTGAAGCCAGAGAATCTTGGTGTGAGTTAAAATACGGAGAACCATTTTTATCCATAATTTTAAAAGTGCTTGCAGGAGTTAAATGCGCTAAGATTTGAGTAAAATAACACTGGGTAACAAAAAAATATTGTTTGAAAATAGTCCAGGGTTTTCCAGCTGAATTAGACTAATGTTGATGCTCTGAGTCCGAAAATGACCTTGGTTTTGTTCAATCAGGTCTGGATTTTTTGCTACAGAATTTTTTTTTTGTATCGATTTTGCGTAAAAAACAAATTTCTGCGGATCATCAGCTGAGAAACCCTTGACGTTTTCCTCAAGAAATAAAAGTCAACGTATCCAAAGTCATTCAATTTTTATTTACTAAATTTGATAAGCAGAATTCATAATATTAGTAAAACAATGAGCGTTACGTTAGTTTGTTTATAATAAAATATCTCCTCGTCGCTACGGATTTGTTATTGAAACTCTCGCACACACCACACACGTAAAACGTAGACGTACATAATCCGTAACACTATGGCTGTATCTCAAAAAGTTGACCTGATAGAGCAAAATGCATGTGATATTCTGACTCAGAACACCAACATTAGTCTGAATCAGTTGAGAAACCCCTGACCATTTTTTGGCTGTCAACTTGTGTAATGATTTGGTGTTATTGTCCCAACTGTAATTTAAGGTAATTGTTTTTATTTGTTTTATGTTTGAAGATAAACTTCCGAAAACGTCCGGAATGAACATTGAAATTCGTCTGTCGGAGGAAGCACAGTTGCATGAGGCGTTCCAGCACACCCTGGAACTTGTGCTGGAGAAAACTGCTGCAGCTGTTCAAGAAGCTCTGGATATGGACCTGGACGGGGAGCGGCAATCTCAGCTACAAAGTGCAGCCGATAATGGCCCTGGTGTTGAATCATTGACTCCGATCACAGACAGTGACTCTGGAGCAGACGCAGAAGAACCCTAAGAATTTCCTTAAACCATTTTCCTCTATGGAATGTGCCTCAAAGTCCCTCACTGCCTCAATCACAGCATAGATTCTCCTGCATGATTACAGCCAATGGAGGTGATAGACCAGTTGGTGCTAGATTCTTAGAATCCCATTAGATTTTAAATAAGAATTTTTATTTTAACTTGCAGCTGTTTATCATGTAGTCACACAGGGAATGTATAGGAGGGTGTGTGAATATATTTATACTGACGCTGTTATCAACATGTTTAACTCACACTCATTATAACAGCGTACAGTTTTTTAAATCACACGATTAACACAAGTATGTATTCTGACTCAAAGCTGCTTCACTGCGCAGCAAAAATACATGCGGGTCATATTTTCTGCGGTTAGCGCCTGGCTGCAGGTGCGTTTGCTTCTACAATGGTCAAGTATCTAAAATCATCCCCAAACCCCAGCTGCGTGAGGCTTTCTGCTTCAAAAGATATGTCCTTTCAAGTGCCACAAACTGGTTTAACGTCAGACAATAATTGCACTTACCGTTGTGGTGAGTTGTATTCCATGGTCTTTGTGGTTTCAGCTTAAACCTATTCACGCTTTTGTTTTCACTCTTGTCCCGTACATTCCTCCACGCACATTCCATTAACACAACGTTTGTAATACTTATTTACAAGCCTACTTGCAGCAGGAGTTTTCAGCCCACAGCCCAGTACCAGTCCAAGGAACTGGGAGATGCCAATGGTGTAACGTACAGCAGCCACTGATGATTACTGGACGTCAGGAATCACAACACGCTCCATGTCATTGAAGCTACAGTTCATTCCACTGCGCGTGATCGTCATATACATTGTAAAAAAAACTTAATTACTTAATTAAAAATCTAACCAAAGAGGAGACTTTCTTACACAATTAAAATCACGTTAAATAGTTCTGTACGCTATAAAAAGCGATTACAAAAGCAGAGATTGAGACTATGCAAATACTTTCTTTTCCAAGGGGGATTGGCTTTAATATAAACTTTGCTTTGTCCAATCCCTTTTCAAGTATTTAGTACGTCTGCAATTTTACAAGTCCTCCTGATGTGAAATGCTTCCAATTTTCACAATTACACTTAAAGACTTCTTTGGCAAATTATGATGAATATCCAATCAGCCCATCTCAACACTTTGTTTTATACAGTTCGGAGCAATTACAGAGGTCAAATGTTTTCTGTAAGTCTTCACGAGGTTTGTCCTGGAACCTTTGCAGAAAAACAGCACAAAAGCATAATGTTTTGTAGTGAAGGGCAGATGAAGCACCGTAACTCAGCGAGGCTTTTTTGCCGGATTGTTTAGAATCTGTGGGAGCCGTTATAGCCTCTCAGCAAGAAGGTCCTGGGTTCGAATCCCGGTCAGAACATGGCCTTTCTGAGTGGAGTTTGCATGTTCTCCCCGTATCTGCGTAGGTTTCCCCACTCAATAGGTAAAATCCTCCAGCTCCAGTTGTGACCAAGTCGAGTATGAACATCTGGAGATGGGTTCCCGGGCGCTTTAGGACGCGACCACTGCTCCTGATGTCAGCCTTAGTGGCATCAGGGATGAAAAATAGCCTGCTTGGGTCATTCTGGTTTATCAATGCACAATGTCCCTGTCATATAAACTAATTAAAAAATATAATCAGGATGGGTCAAATGCAGAGGACAAATTTCCCTACGGGGACAATAAAGTGCACATTTATTTATTTATTCAAAATACTTCAGTGCACAGCAATAACCACTCTGCTTTCGATAATGACAATGACAAGTGTTATCTACCATTAGTTAGTTGTTGTAAAAATCATTTGATGAGACAATATTGTGTTAGGTTGAATAAGATAAAAAAATATCCTAAACCATGAATCTTCATTTTCCACAACCCAAAACGGTGAAGAAATATTGCTATATCATTGATATTGTAGTTAGTTAATGCCTATCCACCACAGTCATGCTTTTGTTATTAGTATAGATCCATGTATCAAACCAAGGAGGCGTGTCAAAAACATAGAATGTAACGCTCTGAACCAATGCAAAGCCAGGAAAATAACTGAGCCAATGAAATGCTTAGACACACAGACACAGTTGATACGCAAAGCGAAGCAGTAGCTGCAGAGTCCGAGACACTGACTTGCTCGTCACTTGAGTGGCTTGTTTAGATACATGCTCCAGCGCATTGTGTCGAAGCAGATTGCTTCTGGAAGAGATTGCTCCATACAGTAGACGTGTGTTCCCTGTGCAAGCCAGTGCTTATGTCCAGATCCAGTTTGCTAAAGCGCATTTGAATGATGCAGGAGGGAATGTCCTATGATCAGGTGACACCAAAATAGAACTTTATGGTAAAAACTAATCTTGTTGTGTTTGGAGGAGAAAGAATACCAATCCAAAGAACACAATACCTAATATGAAGCCTGGAGGAATGGGCCAAAATACCAGCAAGTGTGTAAACCCCTTGAGAAGAACAAAGGGTATATAACAACGTAATGAGATGGAGTTTTGTATTTGACTTGATAATTATTTTCTTCCATAATTTGCAAAGAATAAACGCAGTGTGATATTTTTTTTTTTTTTCATGTCAATATTCAATATAAAATCCCACCTATACTTCCTATGTGACTAGATCATGAACAGCAGCATTTTCGTCTAAACTGAAGACGCTGAAATAACACAGTGGGTTATGGAGAGTCGTGTTTTTATGCATCGCAGGTGTTAAATTCTAGAATTGCACTTTTTTCGATAAAGGACTAGTGAAAAAGTTTAGATTTTGGCCAGTAGGTGGATTCACAAGTGCAAAACACCATTGAAGGTGAAGTCATTTTTGGGCCCAAACATACATCTTTGTGTGTGTGAGAGATCTGTTGAAAGTGGACAAAAGAACCAAAGCTATATTGATGACAGTTAATAATTTATAAATTTGACGAATAATTTTACCTATGCACTTTAGTTGTGTATTTCTTGTTCGTTAAAGAGTTACTAATGTTCACCAATGGGCTCAAGTAACTCGTTAAGATCATTGTATTTATTGTAATTTAATACTTGGTGATTTTAAATTGTGTTTAATTTGACATTCTCACATTGCAGCTGGATGCGAGATATGATTAGATTCTGTTCTAGGTCAGGGTAATAATGGCAGTCTATTCAGTTTTTGGGTTTGTAGGTTCAGTGCCAAAAAGTAACCACTTTGTGAACGGGGTAGACCTGTTAATAAACACATGTAAAATAAATAAAAAGATTAATTTCAACATTTTGTCCTTTCACTATCACAAGGACCCATGAGGCGCTGCTCTAGCTACAGCCAATTTTGGAACTCATTGACTGCAGCCGTTTTTGATTATTTCACTGATTCTCAAGACACACTGAATATTGTTTCCTAAGACTATGTGAAAGATGAAACCAGATTCTGAAAGACTGGATTGTCTACTTTAATCAGCAAAAATAAGTTTGTTTCTAGCTATTTTTGTTGTCCTGTAATCTGCAGTCAAATAGAGGCTCCCAGACAAATACGTCAATGGCAGTCAATGAGTTAAAGACCGCAAGAAATTACTTTTTACTTCCCTGTTTCTACAGAATGATAAACAGTGTTGGGTATAAGTTACTTTGTTACTTACTAAAAATTGGTTGCATATTAAAATGTATCTTTTTTTATGAATGAAGTAACAATTTAGTTGTAATAACATAATCGAATTTAATAGTTGTACCCACAGACCTAATTTATTCAAGTCCCGCTGTGTGTATGTATATTCATATTTACAGTCTATGGCAGGCTTGACAAACTGAAGCCCGTGGTCCAAATTTGACCTGCGAGACCATTATTAGTGGCCCCTGAAATGATTTTCAATTATCATTATCACAGTAACTTGCAGCATTAATTGTGACGGACTACTATGGCATGTTATACTTAATTTTAAAGCATCTGGGGGAAACAATCATATAATTGAATCTGAAATGTAAGTATTCGTTATAGTTATTTTATAATTATTCATATTTAACTATCATCCTTCCAATATATCAGTTCTTGATATTTGGCCCTGTTGATGAAAAACGTTTTTTTTTTTTTTATTTGTTGTAAGTAAAAAAAAAAAAAAACGACTCCCACTGATAACTGCTGTCATTGTGTCCGTGGGCAAATTAACCCCACTTTGCCTGAAGCCCCTGCTGAAACATCAAGGCTCCTGTGGACTCGCCACCTGCAGGAGCAGTGAGGGCTGGTGCTAAGTGTACTGGGTGCAGCCCTGACTGCAAACCTCCCCAAAAATGAATGAATGAATGAAAGTAAAAGAAAAGAAAAAGACTTTCGTACTTTTGGCCCCAGCTCTTATGTGCTTGAGTTTGGCCCACGACCAACATGAGTTTGACACACCTGGTCTATGGTAAATATACACTAGTTTGGATATTATTAGATAGATATTTGATATTGATATTATTAGATAGATATTTGATATTGATATTATTAGATAGATATTTGATATTGATATTATTAGATAGATATTTGATATTGATATTATTAGATAGATATTTGATATTGATATTATTAGATAGATATTTGATATTGATATTATTAGATAGATATTTGATATTGATATTATTAGATAGATATTTGATATTTCCCACCTTTATCGGGATATTAATCTTGCGTCTGTGATTGATTACGTTTTGAAAAAAAAAAAAGATATTCCCATGCTACTCCAATTAAATTTTTCGCTACGGTCCATGTACTATTTCCCTGATGGCATCACGTCACAGTCTCCTGGAGGAGGACCATGGATGTATTATATTAGAGGAGGACCCATAGATCCATGAGTAGGACGCGCACCTGCCCCTCCTCCACAGACTCCGCTATCTTTAGCTGCACCAGCTCCAGCTCCAGGATTACACTGCGCAGCGTCAGTGCGCACACACGGCTCCGTGCTCAGCTTATCCTTCCTCCACCTCAAACCTCCACCACAAGCATAAAAAGAGCCGTAATGGTGGAATGACAGCAGTGGGCTCGATCTGCGGTGCTCCATCCCATACGCCTGATCCAGGATGCTGCTGCTCTCAAACCCGCGATGGGCGAGCGCTGGCCGGGCCTGGCTTCTACTGCTGGCCGCTGTGCTCCATGTCACCTCAGCAAGTCTCAAAGGTAAACACAAAAAAGCAAACACTTTTACGAACAGAACTGGGGGATAGTCAGTGCGTTGAAATATAGCGGCTGGGACATTCTTATTTGTTCTTTTATGTTTTCAGGATCCAAGACAGGTTTCGCAAGTTTGAGTCAGCAATTTGTTTAAAGAAAATATCAAGTGAAAGGTGTCAAAAAAGGCTACAATATTATGGATTCCCATTTTCAATTACCATCTAATTTTGTAACTTACTGATATGACACTTTTTCATTCACGACAGGCCTCTCATTCAGATTGTTCAAGTCACTTCATCCTAACGTTATATTGGATAAAAAAAGTAAATCATCAAATGACATGTCCCCACGTGAGGCAGGGCTGAGGGGATCACAACATCTCATACTGATCAAATGGAAATTACATTGTTGTGTCTTTTTTAAATTATGCATTGGCTTATTTGGGAAAATATTACTAAAAGAAAATGAAGAGCAGGGGTCTACTACAATTTGAAAATGAAATATCTATGTATTATCTAGTAGTATAGTTTGTTTTATAAAAACATTTATTCTGTATATATAATTTTGACTTTTACACTTTAATGTTCACTCTTTAAAGAAAGCAAAGATTTTTCTAAATTTATTTTTTTACCTCTAGTTTTCTTTTTAATAATAATAATAATAATTATTATTATTATAGGCCTTTTACCAAAAGGTTTATTTATAGAAAGGGTGATCTAACAAATGGTTGAGGAAACCATTAAAAGGTTAACAATGAATCTTCAATAAATTAGTGGTGTACTTTTGTAAAAAATGTGGCAAAGCACTTGATAAGGGGCCACGCCTTTATTTTTTACAGTAATGTATTTCTAAGAATCTATTGTATCAAATTATATCAAGCTACATGTCGTATCGTATCGTATCGTATCGTATCGTATCGTATCGTTAGTCCCTGAAAGATCAGATCTGATGAAGAGAGGGTAAAGCCTCCTACATAACTTTGGCTATATTGTTTTCATTATCATTTCAAAATTGATAACTATATCCATCTTAATTGTACTTATTACAGCGCACACTGAAGTTAATCTATTTAACTCCCCTTTGACGTCGTCCTTTTTGCAATTAACGGTAACATTTCCCCGACAGACGCGTGTCCCACCACGTCGGCAGAGATGACTGTTCTCTGAGTGGTCGGAGGCTGCTGACGTGTGAACCCAGATTATGGGCTCTGACACGGCAGCCAAGGCTCGCAGCTGGAGACCTGTGTGTCATTCCCAGAGATAAAGATATTAACCTGGGAGATAGTATTCTACATTTAAAGCCCTTTTCACCATAAGCCAAATTACACATGGGGGGGTTTCAAATGAGTTCTCTACAAACCAAAAGTACTTATGCAACAGACGGGACAGAAACAATACTGTGACCTAAAAAGATGGAGATGATTTATCTTCTTGTATATACTGCTTATTTTGCACGCTGATGAAAAAACAGGTCAACATCAGTGTCTACAACCGAAAAAAACTAGAAACTTATGTGACTGGGCTGACTATTTTATACATGAGAAATCTATAATACATTTTGATTTTTACTTTAAACAATTAATTAAATATTCAATACCTCAATAATATGAACTAATTTAAGTTCCTGAAATCATTTATAGTGAAATTATAATTGGAAAAAGCGCCCTCAATTAGTTCTGTGCATTCAAAGTTTTCAGCAATGACATATTTTAACTGAATAATTTAAGCAACTGTTTGTAATCAACACAATTCACTTCTTTAATTGCCTCAGCCATAGTTGTAAAGGATCTGATGTTTATGCAGTGGACACAAATGTAAAATCCATGATACTTATTTTAACAAAGAGTTCAAATATCTGTTATATATTTGTTTTCTTTATTATGTTATGTTTTTCTTTGTTCATATCACGCTGACTCCCTTTATTACAAGACAAAGTCATTGTTGAAGTGACTTTGAAGGTCTTGTTTTCAGATTGTTTCAGTTGAGTCTGTTTATACACGGTCTTGTAACCATTACTGCACTGAAAACAAATACTTTGGTTGGATTCAAGATTTTCTGCTCGTCTTGTCGCAGTCTGTGCTCAACCAGGGCTCAGTTATTCACAACTTTAATCCATATATGAAACAATTAAATGTATTTCTCAGTAGTAGTAGTAAGCTTTATTTATATACCGCCTTTTCACTGCACATCGGAGTCTCAAAGCGGTTTACAATTGTTGGGAGCGGGGCCAGTACAGGAGGCACATGCCAGACCTATTGTACATATTTTTAGTGGTAGGGGAACCCGGAGTACCCGGAGGAAACCTACGCAGACACGGGGAGAACATGCAAACTCCACTCAGAGTGGAGTTTCCCGGGATTCGAACCCAGGACCTTCTTGCTGAGAGGCGAGAGTGCTATCCACTCAGCCACCGTGCCGCCCAGTATATCCTCTTAACCAATTAAACTGTTTTACAATCATTTAACCACATTACCATTTGAGATCTCAACAGTGTTCGTTAGGGGTGTGACGATATTCTCCCGCGATTCGATTATGGATATGCATTTGCCAAGTATCGATATTGAAAAAAACAAAACAAAAGAATGTATATATTTTTTTCAATCAGTATCAATTCTCAATATATGGCTATCACGCATCTCCATTCCATTTATCATGAAATAAAGTGTGAATAAAGCGGGCGGCACGGTGGCCTTTCTGAGTGGAGTTTGCATGTTCTCCCCGTGTCTGCGTAGGTTTCCTCTGGGTGCTCCGGTTTCCCCTACCACTAAAAATATGTACAATAGTTCTGGAATCTCCTGTTTGGCGACCCCGCTCCCATCTCTGTGTGGACAAAAAATAACAATTGTAAACCGCTTTGTGACTCTGGTCTGTGAAAGGCAGTATATAAATAAAGATTACTTACTTACTTACTAATCGTCATAACGTGATAAAATTGTTATCGTGAGCTGTGTATCGTATCGTATCGTGAGGTACCCTTAGGTTCCCACCCTTAGTGTTTGTGTATAATCTCAATGACTCTCTCTTGTTGTGTTGCCAGGTTTAAATGCCACTTGTCGCTCACCTTTCCCACATAGCATCACTGCCTTTATTGTTCTGAGAGAAGCCTTTTCCCACCATTAACCTCACACCTTTGGCACAATGAAAATGGCCGTTTCCAATCACCTCCTAAACCCAGCGGCAGAATTAGTCATCTGAGCGAGGGAAGGGAACACAGATAGTCTGCGTCAAGCCAGACTCCACAAGGCACTCCGCATTCACTTGTGCCTGATTTAAAAATATAGATGGAGTTCTGAAAAAAAAAACATGTAGATTCTTCTCTCCTGGTTTATGAAAATGTGAAGTAATCTATTTACAAAAACATCATATACTGTACAGTGAGAATACAAGATAAAATGTTTGCATATTGAGACTGGGCGGCACGGTGGCTGAGTGGATAGCACTCTCGCCTCTCAGCAAGAAGGTCCTGGGTTCGAATCCCGGTCGGACCAGGGCCTTTCTGAGTGGAGTTTGCATGTTCTCCCCGTGTCTGCGTAGGTTTCCTCCGGGTACTCCAGTTTCCCCTACCACTAAAAATATGTCCAATAGTTCTGGCATGTGCCTCCTGTACTGGCCCCGCTCCCATCTCTGTGTGGAGTGAGAGACAAATGCCCAAAATTAACAATTGTAAACCGCTTTGAGACTCAGATCTGCAGTGAAAAGGCGGTATATAAATAAAGATTACTTACTTACTTACTTACTCTCAGCAGCCTGGCTTCCCACATTTTTTTAACCTTTTTTTTGTTCTTTATCTACGTACTGGTTTTTATTCGTCTTCCGTTTTGTTCATTCAGGAAGTCCACCTTCTAACTCTGGTGCCACAAGGGTTAACATTTTAAACTTAGAGGATTGATACTTGAAAGACTTACCCAACTGTAATTGTTTGTTTCCGCAGCGTCTCAGTCTAAACGGGGCCTTAAGCCTGAGTTGGTGAACCTGAATTCACCCATGATATTAAAGCCCTGTTTATATGGAGGCGCTGCGCAGACGTTGCCAAGCTATTAACAGAAACGACAAGGCTCCTAATAAAAATTTACAGTGTTCATACAAGAAGGGAAAATGATGTAGTTCTAGCGCCCGGCCAGTAGTGGGCAGAGGAACTTTACAACACGACAAACGCGAGCCCCCACCCCCCCAGCAGTATACTCACTTCCTCTGCAAGACGTGGAAGAATGCACCAACATCTTTCTGCATTTAACAGCAGCTGCGAAAATGGAAACTGAAACTAGAGCTTTGCGTGGTCTCGTTTGGACGAACGAAGAAGTAGAATCCTGCTCCGTGTAGCAGTCAAAGCACACGAAGCTAGTTAGCGTACCCGCCACCATTGTTGTTTACGGTTGTTCTTGGCTAACGTGCATGTCCAAATTTACGTGCGGGGTGCAGCGGGGAGGTGGGGGTCGGATCAAGCAGAGAATTCATACCTTTTTCTTCAGGCGGGTCAGATAAAGGGACCCTCTGAGCAGCGTATCTGAGCTGTATGAACGGGGGGTAGCAACCGACATCCAACTATAGCGTTTTACTGCCGCATTGTCTCCGTATAAACGGGGCTTAACAGTGCTTGAAAAATGCTGTATTGATGTACTTATATTACGACTGTTATGTGTTATATAAGAACATTTCTGAGTTGATAAAAAGCACTGAAAAAAAACATAACCCAAAGACTGTAGAGACGGAGAATGTTAACCTTCAACCTCCATGAAACCAAATTGTGAAGTTTTGCTCCTTGTAGTAGTAGTAGTAATCTTTATTTATATACTGCACTGCAGATCTGAGTCTCAATGCGGTTTATAATTGTTAATTTTGGGCATTAGTCTCTCACTCCACACAGAGATGGGAGCGGGGCCAGTACAGGAGGCGCATGCCAGAACTATTGGACATGTTTTTAGTGGTAGGGGAAACCGGAGTACCCGGAGGAAACCTACGCAGACACGGGGAGAACATGCAAACTCCACTCAGAAAGGCCCTGGTCCG